TACAAATACCATTGAAAACGCGCACATTTTGTACCTTTCTTTACACAACAATCACAATCAAAATATAAAACAATTTGCACATTCTATTATAAACTTGACATTACTTCATGAGCATAGTCCGTCGCATATAGCCTATTTACTATAAGTCCAATCTAAAATTTAAAGTGTTTTTACTGGCATATGCTTCATTAAATCAGTCGTTAGCCCGGTATTAAGTTTCGGGATTTGTGTTATTTTTTAGATATCTTATTTAGTTTGATGGATTAAGGATTAAGGATGGCGTAATTAACAAAACTTTTTACTTTAAATCACCTGAAGGTTGTCGATTAATTATTAGAAGATTACTAACTTAATTAAATGTAAAGCCCCTGTTATTTTATACGTAAACATGCTAATCTAGTTGCGGGTAGAGACAAGAAATGCGAAAAAAAATGCAAGCTTAAAACTATAAAGGTTAAACTTACTGCCCTGTGAAGATTGCGCCTCGCGCGCTTTTTTTAATTCCTCTTGCTGTCTCTCGTACTCTTCCTCATCAGCCAAGGTATCCGGCGTCTTCTGGACAGTTTCTTCTTCTATCTGTTTTTTTATTTTTTTGTAAGTACAGTAGCATAGCCTTTCATTTAATTTAGTTGTTACGGAAAAAATAGTTGAAAGACTAAGTGATGATCCTGCCTTTTGATTTTGTTTGCGATTGTATCGTACATTTACCGTACTTATTTAACGTACGTACTTATTACATAATTGAACAAAAGGAATAGCGTATCCTGTTGCGTCACGCGTGTTGGGCTAGAGAGGCTGTTGACCAATTGTTATCAAATGGAATAAGTTAACGTTTCGTATTTTCATGATATCGGTTTCTACATTAACATGATATAAAGCTGGAAAATTGTGATATCGAAGCGTTATTAATCCAGAACTAATAGCGTTGTACTAGCTTAGCGTTGACTAATAAATATGAAGATATACAAAAATAAGATATGCTGTCAGTAAACAACTGAATTTACTATCTAATTTTGATATTAAAAGTTTCGGATCGAATTGCCAACGAGCTTTGTCGTGACTCAAAAGGAGGGAATAATTAATAATGAAACATTACAAATTATGTGATGATACATTTAAAATTTATTTTCTAACCTTGCTATAACAAAAGCGTATGTTATTTATTTAGCGTAAAGGTTTTTCATAATTCCCTCTAATTTTTATAAATTAATTAGTTTAATAGACTCAGAGATAATTAACTATAGATACAATGAAATTAATAAAATAAAATAAATATATCTGAGAGTATCTTTAGTTCCAAAAATGTGTAAATTAGTTTCAATTAGTTTTACCTCAGTGTACGGCTTCCCAGGTGGAGGTATAGATATACGTTCAACTGGCGGCTCATCGTCATCTTTAATTTGCGTGCTCTGGTCGTAATTTTCTTCATCATCGCCTTCTTCAGAACCATCTGATTTTATTATTTAAGATGAATAAAGTTTTTCAGTGTATTCAGAAAAAAGGTAGAACTTCTATTATAAATATTAATTGTATTTTTATCCGATTTAAACTACAATGATGTAGGTATGTTAAAGCTTCTCCGCCTGTGGGCCGAATCAAAGTGTCATTGTTCATGGCCTTTGAATAAGATTAATTGATATTTTTTTATTAATATCAGCCAATTCAATCGTTTTGAGATGGCTTTAAACTTTTAAAACCTAAATTATATATTTTTTTCATAGTCATTTCTTATTGCACATATAAAAAATAATAATGTACATTGTAGATACGTAACGCATTGGGGTATGGGCAAATATATTTCTGTATTTGCATGACATTTCTGAAATGGAGTATTCAGCCTTCTGTATGTATAATCCAACCACCGGCAATTGTTAAAGGTATATATATATATATATATAAATAATTGGATTATGTAACTTAATGTACCATTATCATCACCAGCTTCATCGTCCTCTTCTTTTACTTCCGAGGAGAGAATATCTTCATCTGATATTTCGCTTTCAATTCTCTCAACGTCATCATCCTCTTCATCTTCACCACCATCCTCTTCATGTTCCTCCTAAAATTTAATCAATGTTTAAATTTAAGATATCTATTATTTTGAAAACTTGGTCAAGAGTATAGATAGGGTTGCGATTTTTTTCCTTTCCTTTCCTCACGATGTTTCGTGCAAAGCCGAGGTTCGAACGACATTAGGGATAAGAGTCGCACGCTGAAGCCATACCCAACACTGCTCTTATATTATCCGTAGTTAATTTAACTGTCTAATTATACATCGATACACATTCCTATTTGTGCCTTGTAATCTACATATACTATGAAAGGTTTGTAAACAATTGTTAATTAGTCAAATATGTTTTTTTTCTAGCTGTTTTGAAAAGGGTTGTTATAAATTTATTTAAATAAAGTAAAAGTAATCATAAGCCAAACCACACAGTTTAAAAGTCAGTATTAGTTTAAGAGAAACTAAATTCCATCATGCCTATGCCTCTTATTAAACATTTGACAAAACAATAAATAGTTTTAGCAGTTAAATGTTATATAAACGCAATTAATACAAAAAAGTTAAATTTTAATTGCACGTCTAACATAGTAAAAGTTAAATTTAGAAAGCAATGCTGGTTATGTGCCAATTATTTAAAGATATTGGTTTTAGTACTACAAATTTTTTCAAGGGCCAAATCATGGGTTTCCGTAGATATACTTGAGTAAGAATAAACAACGCTGTTAGAAAATCACGTGAGCAAAATATGTTATAATACATTAATGACTACGGAACCCTTAAAACAACACACATTCTTTAACGTTTTTTTGCACCTCTTTTTCCCATACGTCATCATTATCATCAATGTAGTCACCGTTGTGATTTTTTTCAATTTTGCCATTATTTTCGTTTTGTTCGTATTCGTCATTGTCCTCTTCATCATCATCCGTTTCATCATAATTTTCTTCGTTTATATTATAATCATCCTTCACTATTTGATCTTCTTCATCACTTTCATAATTTTCTGCACTATTTTGATCATCATATTGTTTGTATGCACTGTATGCAATGTCTGCATTATCCTGTACATATTGTATTAAAGTAATATAGCAACTATTTTACATAAAAACATCAAAATAATGGTTTATTAATAGGTCACCTCTTCTTCAATTTCATCTTCATTTTCATCACTATTTTGTTCTTCATCAACCTCATCATTGTCATCCTCTTCATCATTGTCTTCATGTGATTCATTATGTTCATCTTCATCATCATTATGCTTGTCTTCATCGTCACCATTGTGTTCAATATCTTCATCATCAGCTTCATCATCCTTATATTTTAGGTTTAATAAGAAGGCATAAAAAGCAAGATATGTATATATACTGTGTGGTGTTTACATAATATTTTTATCAAATTTCTTCATCGGTATCTATGATATTTTTGAATAAAATTCATACTAATTGAATATAATAATGTAGATATAATTCATACATAATGCATATTTAATTAATAAGTTTTGTCTGTATAAACTACCTGTTGTTTTGAACATAGTAACTTACAGGGTGATTTAACTCTAGTGTATGTTCATCATGATGGTCATCATCTGGCGTATCTTCAATCCATCCTTCTAAGACACCAGAATAACGAGATTCAACTGCATTTGCCTCCACTATATCCAAAGTGTATATCAATTAAAGTTAAATACTTAATACTTAAAGAGAGTAAACAAATCTGCTAACAAATATAATATTTGTTTCTTAATCTATTAATAAAATCAATAATACTGTCAGTCTAGAGACTGATCTAAACAGTGACTTTAAAAAATAGCACTTAGAAATAATGAGTATATAGAACATTAGAGAGTATAACCCCAATTCTGTTAAATAACTTTGAACATTATATAAGATGAAAAGAATACTTACAGTCACTGAGACCTCTATTTTCCAAAATTATAAGCCCAATTAGTGTTACTAATACTGCTAAAAGAGAGAAAAAGACAATTTTGGCACACCAGTGCCCACCAGTTCCATGTTCATGGTACGAATGAATGAAAACATCGCCTTCTCCGAACACGGCAGCTGTTCCACGAGGTTCTTCAATACCCAGGTCATCTGATTACAGAATATACCACTCTACTTTAATACTTTTTTTGTAACTCATAGTAGAACAGGAAAAAAAAATAGATATTTTATGCATACCTTTCTTCTTTTTCTTGTCTTTTCGTTTTCTTGGCTGCACATCACCTGACATTTCTATCTAGCAGCAGTAAGTAATCCTATTGTTTCATAACACTTGGTAAACAATAGCTACAATACTGCACGAGTGAAACGTACTTAAAAATATTAAGTGCGCAATTAATGTATGACTTGATATTAAGTGCGGCGCACGTTTACACATTAAAATAACCTACACGACAAACAGTAACACTGCTAGATTCTTGATTTTATTTTAGAATTTAACCTAAAAATAACCGGCATAGACAGCTCAAGATAGAGATAGCCAATATTTATATAGCAACAGCTGATTGGTTACTACTTCCAGTGATTCCCATTTTATGTATTAAAATTGTTGGAAGTTTAATACATAAAATGGGCAACAATTTTATACTTGCAAACTTTACCGAAATAATTGCACCGAATGGTGATATTCATGTTATTTAAATCATAAAACCTAAATTCGTAACATTTGATTATTATTACCAGACTTATATTAGAAAATACTCACCGTTATCTGGTGCAAAAAATGCGCGCGGTTTTGTTGTTTTGCCCAAAGTCGGGGAATATTCAATGTTTTAGATCTCCTTTCGATCACTGGACCAATCCAACCAACTGGCTTTAGTATGACAATTGACATTCAAACATTAAATTTTAGGGCTTCCGGCTTATATATTTTATTATGATATTCGGCAATCGGCAGGTGACTGGTGAAAGTGAATCAAATTAAAAATATTCGTTTCAACTGCCGGTTATAAAAAATAGGGTTTTTCTTTTTTTTACATTCTGCTAAGATAAGAATGTGTGAAGTAACCGTTTTGCAGGATGGTTATTCATATCAAAATAGCAGTAGTGAAATGATTGCAAATTGCACATGTTCCTTAATAACAGGTGTTCATAACATAATTGTCGATACAATGACACCATGGGATTCAGAAAAAATTCTTCATTGTTGGTATACGTGCTTTATAGAAATGAAATCTTTTTCGATTTATTTGTAAAAGTAAAAAATCTAAAGAGACTTTTGTCCACTTTTTATATCTGTTATATTATAACATATTTATGGTTTAAAGATCTTTCCACTGGGAAGAAAATATCTTTTCAATAAGACTGCTCATATAATTTTATTTAATCTAGTGCTATGTTTTTCCAGCATTGGAGAAACACAAATTGTCTTGTGATAAAATAAATTATGTAATTTCAACTCATGGACATTCTGATCACACTGGTAATAACAATCTATTTCTTAAGGCAACCCACATAGTTGGATGGAGTATTTCTTTCAAAGACAAATATTACATACACCCATTTGAGAAAGGTAATAAAATATATCTTAAAAGTAGTTAAAAGTTTTAAGATCTACAATAATTAATATTTTTATAGGGAATGAATTCATTGTAAATGAATTTGTGAAAGTTGTTCCTACTCCTGGTCATACAATGTCTGATGTTACAGTCCTAGTAAAGTCTAAGGATGAGATTGTAGCTATAGTTGGTAAGAAAAAGTTATATAATGTTTACAGAATTTCACTGATAACATGAAAATAGTTAATAAACATATTCATAGGTGATTTATTTGAGAAACATGAAGACATTATGAACCAGAATATTTGGATGAGTGTTGGCTCTGAAGATCCTATACAACAGGCTAAAAATAGAGCCAAGATAGCTGATGCAGCAGATTGGATTATTCCAGGTCATGGACCTATGTTTAAAGTGACTAATGAAATAAGGACAGCATTAAGAAATCAAATTTAGATGAGTACAATCTGATCTCTTTATATCTTGATCTGTATTAGTGACTTGGAATTCTTTACTTCCAACATATAAATAAATCTTTATTATTCAAACCTTATTATATTGTTGCATTATTTTACAGACACTGATGAGTTAAACATTGTCAATATTGTTAAAGGATATATTTTACTCCATATAGGGAAGTGTTAAGGTTGGGTTTGTTGAAAATTGTAGGAATCACAAAGAGAAGTAATTTCTGAATAAAATTTTATTAAATATTATAATTTTTTTCCTAAAAAATTTGGTGATAAAGAATTGTCTCTTATATGACAATCCAGTCTAAGAAAAAGAGAAAAGCTATATTACATTGTAAAAATATAAAGTGATAGGTTTATGACATATATGAGAATTTTATGTTTTTTAACATTGAAGAAAATTGCATTGATAAACAATTCACTAATAGTAATGTAGCTGTAAAAAATATTGACAATTCATACAGAATTAAACTATTTGTACATCCAATCTTTTGAAATATGTAAAGATATTGAAAATATCTGTTACTACTGTTCTATAATAAAGAAACAACTTCAATTCAACCAACAAACTCAAACTGCAGTACATCTTCACATCAGCTTCATAAACTAAATATCACATGAATCAAACATAAATATTATAACAGTGCTGAATATACAACCTTTTTTGTCATTTGGAAACCCATTTCATGGGTATGAAATAATAAACCACATAAAGAAAATGTAAACAAATATCTCCTAAAATATAGTATGAAGTTGAATATTTAAAAAAATATCTCGTGTCTCATCGGTCCTCTTTTTCTTCTAGATAATTTTTGTGGTTGACACAATTAGGATATCTTTTCTGTTTTGATTTAATAACTGAAAACAACTTTCAAAAATGCAAAAGGTTGAAAAGAGGCAATCATTTATATTGTGACAGGTGCTCTTTACAACACATAAAGCTATTAAATGTGCTTGCATAGATAAAAGCTTAGCTATTTAAAAGAGACTGCACGGATAACAATTTTTTTAAATTACTTTTTATTTTAGCAATAAATTTTAAATTATCATCTCAAGGAAGATTATGTTTTCGAAACATATTTGCTACACATTATACAGTATTTTTTAAGGACAGTTCCTACATTAAACTAATTCATAAAAAGAGCAGTACTGAGCAAGTACTGCACAGTCATCATGACCACAATGATGTTGGGACCACATCCTGGTGGGTAGATAGGTTAACCATGTTACCAGTTGCTTCCCGAATTGTAAAATGTGTTAAATGAGAATGACATATGTAATTAATGCTGTTCACGCGCACGGCACATGATCTGCGCTGGCGGGAGTGGGGCGCGGGCGCCGCGGCTGCGACCGACCGGCAGTTACAATTACGGACGCACGACGTGCGACACGAATAAGAATTTTATTTTAATACATATTTAAATCTAGTCCAGGTTGTTTGTTTGATTGCTGCAATTGCAAATTCATCAGCAAATTCATCTCCCGGACAAAATTTGGCGACCGTGACAGGACTCCCGCCAGCGCAGATCATGTGCCGTGCGCGTGAACAGGAACTTGACAGGCGCATCCGGAAGCGTCCGATTGCACCTCAAACAAGTAGGAATCCAACTTCTGTCAACTTGTGTCAACTTTACATAAGGAATAATGTACCTATCTGCTGAAGGAATTAAAAAAATAGGTACAGAGTACACTTTCTACAGAGTCAACTCTCAAAGTAATTGCTCAGTCCAATCTCTATTCATGCTTATAACAACACTAGAGAAATAAATATATTGAGGAGCAGCACCTCATTACAAAATTCGTGGCACAAAGAGCTTATTTTCGCAATACACAACTTATATATTACTACCAGTGATACCTTCAACAGAAATCCTTGTATCCACAAGTCCGGGCCAAAGTTGCTGCGTGCAATAAAAAAAAAGTTAAATTCTTCTAATATAACTATTAAGACTTCATATCACAGTTGATAATTGATAACGCTTAAACTTATATATTCCCATATCCATTCCGAACGCTAAAAGATAGCTGCAACCAAGAAAAAAATAATTTTGTAATGAAATGTAAAGAGGTCTTTAAAAGAGAACTTATACATGAAAGGATTTTAAATTTTACCTGTAAAAAGAAAAAGCACTTAGCAAGTTTTAAAATGAAGTCATACCTGTGGGTCTATACTTGTAGGAACTGGTTGAGGTTCGTCAATACACAGATCCGAATCTGAATCGGTCCTTCGAAGTCCATTATTGTCCTAAAAATCATATATAGCTTAGACAGATGAATATAATGAGCTTAAGAAAAGAACGTCCCAATTCTTAAAAGGTCGGCCACGCACACTGCGAGTCCGGATAGTGACCATAGCCGAAAAAAAATGAATAACGAAACGACAATATTTTCAATTGGAGGTGATTAGTTTAGACGCTATAGATCGTAATCAAGCCACATAGTTCACGTTCTGTTTTTAAAATTATTGTTTACTCAATAAATAAAACTTAAACTTGTAAGTGATAAATTATAAAAGTATCTTACTCCTTGTGTGTACTGGCGTGTGGTAGTCAAAAGCCGCGCTAGAGGTCTAAAGAACGCGGGCAATGTCTCCGTAAGTGGTGGTCTCGCGTGCGTAAGCAGAGGCTTCAGCAAACGAGAGTCCAGCGCACCCCATAACTTAGCTAGCCGGGATTTCTCAGTTCCGCTATCGCCGCTATCACGATGGCTTTCCTATAAAAATATTAATAAACATAAATTAAAGTCCACCAAACTAATGTTTAACCCGGGAAAGTTCATCGTAAAACCTCATTTATTTATGGTTCGTTGATTTCAATTACTAACATACTTACATCGCAGGGAGTACTCTATATATATTATATAGTTTTAACGAGACTGGAAGGGTTAAATATTTTGAAACAAACACTTAAAGCAAATAAAGGGAGATATTTACAGTAAATAAAAGATACATACGTCCTCATAGTTAAGGTGGCAAGGCATTATGACTCCGCTCTCGTCTTTTCCCCATTTAACTACCATGCGGCCAGTCTAGACATTGAAACCAAAAAATTGAAAATAGTTAACATGCAATATTGCAGGAAAGATTTGTGCGTGTTAGATTGGTTCCCATTTGCAATATTTCATGCGTCATGCGTATGAATGAAAAACGCTAACCAAAGCGAAAATCTTAATTTGAAGCTTTTCGATGTTGGCTAACGTTGAGAATTATGAAAGAAGTTCCGTGTAGTTATCATGCGATGAGCATTGTATTGTTAACATTGGGTGAATAATTTATGGTTTATATAAGGTGGTCATGCTGTGCTTGTTAGCTTATTAAAATTTCCGCATGCTATAAAGGATCTTACGGGTGCTTGCTCACTCGATGTTGTTACGTCCACGTTTCTTAGCCCCAAACTAATATCACCTGGCTGATGAGAAATTTTAAAATTAAAACGATTATTAAACTTTAATTTCTACGGATCTATCGTAAAGATACAAATGAAATTACCTATACGAAATTGTTAGAACCGAAATGCTACACGGAAATTTCTTTAGCTATGAATGATACGGTACGCTGTTGTTAGTGAATATGGGTATTCTATAAGCACCTAAACACAATGTTAGCTGCGCAATAACTTGTATGTACGTACCGAGCTGCCCACGTCCGTGGCCTGGTACAGCTGCCACAATAATTTAATGTTAATCACATGCGTGACTCGTATACGGTAAACAGTACACCCTCACTAGTTTTTTTCTGTAGTTTATAATTTATGGTTTTCTGTAGTTTTCTTTATTTTGTTTCGAAGCCATGTTAACATTATAATTATAATATAATCATAATTTTAAACTAAATTCTACCATAAATATTAAAACATCAGCCTTGCGATTCTGTAACTCACTTTTCGAACTCTCACAGCGGTTTTCGCAGCGGAAGTCGCGCTCAAGAAGTGAGTTACAGAATCCCAAGGCCGTATATGATTTCTATAATTAAAATTTTAATGTAAAAACTACGTGAAGGTGCATTACACAATGAGTCCAGCGATTTATGAAGAAAACGCCACACACTTTTTTTTACATAATGTCTTTCATATGGAATCTGAACTGAAAACCAACGAAAAGTAGAAGAAACACACCAAGGTGACCTAGCTTTGATTTTTTTTTATAAGAAAATCAAATTAATGTCAATTACAAACTAAATAATTTAATAATGGAGTGTGTTAATTCATTACTTTTTCGCTGGTTATCAAATCTTGTTTGATGATATTTAAAATTATTTAGCATTACCTAAACCAAAACTACGCTACATGATTTAGCAATTGCATTCTGTTAGCACTATTTTACAGTAACAGAAGCATTTGTAATTGCTCAGAACCAAAGTCCCAAAGGGGAAAAGAAATCGCTGATTGAAATTTTAATCGTGTTTCTATTTAAGATAGCAGTGTGCAAAGAAATAATATTATAATTTACATACATTTCTCACATCCCTGTAAGGCAGCGTGTCGCTCTCTTCGTTCTGTCCTTGGCTGCAATTATTTAAAAATTATTGGCAAAAAAGTTTAAACTTTGTATTATAATTGAATTTTTATTAACACAAATTTAATAACTGAAAAATATTAGACTGATATTGGTATGTTATTTAAAGCTGGCTGCTTCAACACAATTACACTTTGGGCTTGTGTAATGTCTGTGAATAAGCGCGAGGCGTGATGTCAAACTGAAATACAATCACAAATACATCATGAAAAGACTGTCCGTCTCTCTCGCGCTCGGTCAAGCTTATGAGTATAAAAGTGACAGTTATTGTTTTGCTTTTGCTACTGTTTATGTTGATCTTTTTTCAAACATTACCAGGACAGTCTCGTGAAATGGTGCACAATGTTTTTAATTATTTTAAGCAGTTTAATGAAAAAATGTTATTTTTAATTTGACATCAGATGCGACTGGGGTTTCTAAGAGGAGTAGTGAAAGAATTGTTAGTGAAGTAAAAGTGAAGTGTGTTGAGCTAGATGGAGCTTATGTCGAAAAACGAAAAATTATTTACACAAACTACTCTTTTACGTTCTTGGTCAAGCTTAGAACTTTTGGTTCCACGCTCGTATGCACATAATATTTATATGTATTTGACACATTTTTATTTATTTAAAACCCACCCAACCTTACTAAAACCAGAGTAGACTAAATATATATATATATATAGCTTGGCAAAAAAGTCATATTTTTAAACATACTGTATAGTGAAATTGCATTAGTGTGAGTACTGTGAACGCGCCAGCTTTCGATAACCGACCTACACCATATTTTCTTATAGTCTTAAATTTTGATCTATAGCACTCAGTTTCGAGATTTCATGAATTAATTTTAAAGAAGTATTAGTAAATGGAAATTAATTCTCCATCTAAGAAAAATCATTCTTTACATTAGTTACATTCAATGTAAAGAATGATTTTTCTATGACCGATTCCCAAGCTAAATTTTAACTGAAGTTTTTAACCTAAGTTCGTACCCGGTGGGTATACGCAAGTACGCCAGGGCATGCGTCGCTGCGCCTCCTTGCAGCACCACCGTGGCTATCACAATCAAAGATGTGGTCGTCAACATCGCCTGACGCGCCTCTGATACTGTGTTGCGGATTGCTAGCGCGAAAGACATAGCGCCGCGCAACCCTAGACAAAAATTTAAATAGACATTAATATTATTTTTTTGCGTTTTGTGGAATAACTGGATAATAAAGATAAGTGTGTCGAACATCAGGTGAGCCCCCAAAATATTAAATATTATTATTATTATTATAAAAAGTCTTATATTTTTTACTAAAGCTGTTAAAACACTGTATATACTTTGTATATTGACAAACATTTGGGTATTACGAACTCCAAAACAGCGTGGTTTTTATGTTAGAATAAAAATGCTGCATCTGTTCAGTTGAGAACACTAACATTCGACGCATGCCAATGGCTTAAAAGCGTCGCACAGCCGACAATCGCTGTCCTCGTCTGACAAATGATGTTACCCTAACTCTCTTTCACTCTACCTTAAATATTTATTATCTTTAACAGCCAGTAACCCTTATTTGCGGCCAGATTTAATTAAGCAACTTTATATGATAATTAATAGAAAAAAATTAGCTTCAATTTGACATATAATTAATAAAAATAGGTTATAAACGTATAAATTTATCGAAATCATACCTGTTTACACCTGGCTGCAAAGAGGTGCGGCCAGGTGCGCAACGGCAACCGTGATTTTTTGAATCTTCATAATAATTACCGTGATGTAGACGTTATTTTATTTAAAAAATAAATAAACGAAATTTTTTACCAAAAATCAATTAAAAATAATTTAATTAAAAATAATGGCGGCCAAATTTTGATAGGCACCCTAGTAAATATATATTCTCTTAATTATAAATAAACATAAAAATTTGGTTTTAAACAAAAAGTCGATGAGCACACCAATCCTGCAGCGGGATCTTAGACTATTATGTGTTCTTACAAATCTACATTTTAATGCACTGTATCGCTAAGATCGCTCACGTGTTGATCGAAAGTGAAATTATTTTTGCCATACAAAAAGCATACGTAATCAAAGATGCTTTAAAATTATATAAATAGGCCAAAAGAACACGCACTGTGTACAATGCAAAAATGGCAATGAATTAGAGACTACAATTGTGTAACCTTGAGAAATTTTGATCACTCTTATAAAACAAGGAATGCCTTTGTGAAATATCTATTAACATAATATTAATCTTACCAGAAAAGAAGAGCATGTGTTGGAAATTCATGGGTATTGGTGGTTTTCGTCCGAGATTCATTAGAAATGATAGCGGATAGATATTTACTGCTCGGCCAAGAGTTGAGGTCAACTGATATTGTCGTTAAGGATATATTAATTAGCATAGTTTAGCACATTACGTATATGATGGTCGCATGTATCAAATCCAGGACGCATACAACTAGATATGAACCATGTTTTTCTTAAATTGCTTTATTTATTTATTTATTAGTAAATTTATGGTGAAAATGGTTCAGCTTACTAAAAATAATCAATTAAATAGATGCATGTGTCGGGGCGCCCTGGGGGGGCGTTGTAGTATTTGGTTATATTGATATATATATTGATATATGATGTGAAACCCCTGTTCCCTGATATTTTAGTTTTTTTATTACTTAATCCTTTATTTTAATGAAGATAAACTCATAGCAAGTAATTAATTATTTAGAAAAGGATACAAATCCGGCGACAATAAACCAGGGATCAAAATGGTGCTTCGGGAAAGTGAACATCGAAACACCTATGTATGTAAATATGAAGTTTTCAGCCAAAAAGTTGAGCAATTCAAACAATTGTTTTGTCCGATTTCTCGAGTCCGTGGACAGGTTGTTGTATGTGTAATGGGCCTGACATATACCACAGAAGAGTACCGCTACAACACCTGAAAATATATTTAAAAAAATGTAAAAGCCGTAACTGTAACTTTCTTTAACGATACCGACAGTAATCACTGGATAATGAGTTTTGTACCGCGCATCATTTGTTGCGACATCAGCGTTACGGCTATTGAGAGAACTACATCGAAGTGGTACATAAAAACGCCGGGATCGGTATCGCTTTCGCTATAAGGAGTTATGGAGTACGTACGGGTACTGTTTTTTGTTTAATATTCAATAAACGACATTAACACAGCTACACTAAATATTACTGAGTTGGAGAGTCAGAATCTTCTCTCGAAATTAATGCTTTTACTACAAAGCATTAATTTCGAGAAGATTCTGATTGCTTAAACCGGCGGGACACAACAGAAAAAATTATAGGTACACTGTTTTATTATAGCGTGTAAAGTTTTTTGTTTTATTACTTCTTTCTTTATCTTTTAATAATGTATTTATTTATTTATAAAAATTATTACGCTGTGATAAAAAGTCAGATGACACATTATAGATAAAACAGTGTGATAAGACTGCTTTACTTTAAATAAATAAGGGGGTTAGCTTTAAATAATCATCTAATTTCGAGATATCGTCGGGAAAATTATATTTAAAAAATCTAGAAATGACTTTTATTTATATGATTTAATTTCTTTGTATAATACACAATCAGATAATTTATCAGGTCGTAAACAAACCGAGCCTTATCGTTTACACTTTTCAACCCTAGTAAGGGAATTTAAAATCAATGTATGGGTGAATGAAAATACTATAAAAGAATTAAAAGATCATGACAATTTTAGGCAAAATGAATAAAAACTCCAGCAATTTGACACAAAGATCGTACCATTCCCTCAAAGGTCATCAACATAAGCCCACACACCCCCGGCGTTCTAGGTGTCCATGGACGTTTACTACTTGATTCAAATATTCTAGTAATTTGAATATTTGAATTTGGCCTATTGTCATAAAAAATAATACTTTCGCGTCTCATACCTGTTAATTCGCACACTTCGGCGATGAGGAAAGCCGCGTATGACATAAGAACAAACAATGCCGATTCCAGGAGGGGCCAGTCACGTACGTGCGTAAACTTTGTCATGTACAATGTATTAAGGAAATATAATGGGACAAAGAATAAGCGAATTACTGCCTGTTAGGGAAATTAATTAAATTATAATAGGATCCTAGCAATTAGTTTATCTGAATATGACGAGTGCAGTAGATGAAATAACTATGCACTTTAGGTGAATAGCCAACATGATGTTGTTTTAGGGATTCAGCCTATGTCCCTAATAACCCGAAACAATATTTGTTTTGCGGGAATCAGGTCTAGGATTTTCAGGGTCAAATTATGCCATGGTGCTATTAAAACGATTCCCTTTAGACGTTCGCTATGAATATATTTTTGGAAACATATGAACATATGGAAAGACTAGTCCAACGGATAAACTATAAATCTCCATTGTAATATATAGAAGTTATTAGAATGAAGTCTTATTTTCTGATTTAAATTAATAATAGTATTATTAATCATTAAAATTAAATAATGTCGCGTAATTCAGCGTGTCTTGTGGCGTAGACTTCCTCTCGCGTTATCATTTGAGTACTGTCACTGTCGATTATTATATATTAAAAAGGATATCAATGCTGTGAAACAACCCATGAGAGCTCCAACAATGAGAGAAAGGCTGAATATTCCGATAAAATCGCCTATGGCTTGTAAAAACGCTGTTATTTCAAACTCGCCATCCGTTGAATATCTCTTCTCATAGTTTTGAATAGCTCTGAAACATTTTTTTTTATTTCATAAATTTTCAAAATATACCAAAGACATTGGACCTTTATACTACAGCGATTAAACAGACAAATTTCTGAACGCGCCTTTAAATATTTGACCACCAAGTGACAATGTTTTATTTCTAAAACGACATCACAATCAATGTTTCACAGCTAGGTACAGTTTGTATTGGAAAATCGAGATTGGAGATTTTCGGTTACTTATTATTTATGTTTCTTTTCGTTTGAATCTCTTCCGAACAAATATTTCAAGTTCAAAATCAGCCAATTTAGAGCATTTATAAATATAAAATTTTTAAATGCTCTAGCATTTAAAAATTTTATATTTATAGATAACAACAAAATCTAATCTACGTCTAAATTTATGATGTGAATTCAACTATTTTTTATCTAATTTTTGGAGTAAAGAACAACATTAATTCAAACATATAAATCGCAAGCTGTCGTCCGTTAATATTAATAAAAACATGACTACAATTGTAAAGTCTAGTGTAAAACATCTTCGAAATTATATAGGTATTTGATGGATAACCAGTTTCATAAATATTTGTAAAGATAACAAGTGTTTAATATCTTAAATAATCAAGATAAAAATAATTATTAAAAAAAGATATTATTGAATTATCTAAGCAATTAGTGTGAGTATACACGACAAATGTTGATTTTATTAGTTAAAATATAGTATTTAGAGAAAAAATAAATATTTCGTATGTACTTGTGCTAATGTATTAAAAATATTTTTAAAAAGGACAACATTCTATTAAATTAAAAAAACTGATCATCAATGATTTACTCCATTCTATACTGATTTAACAAAGTGTGACCTGTTTATACAATATCAGCTATAATTTTTTCAGAAACAATATATATAGTAATTGAAGGGAGTAAATATATATCCATTTCATATTTGGGTATTAAATTAAAATAATCTCCATTTTATTTTTACTCACCCACTAAGTACTAAGGCTACTGCATCATTTAGGACACTTTCGCCAAATATCATTGCATACAAATTAACATCAACCTGAAAGTAAATATCTAAATGATCATACATTTTTGTAAGAAACTGTAATACATATTTTATCTTAATAAGAGTAGCTACGTATAAAACCACTCTGCAAAGCCATAATAAATATTTTATCTTGTTAAAAAATTCTCTTGTTATATTGGTTCGTAAAAGACTAAAAACTTAAAAGGGCATTTTTTTAAATGATTATGAATCAATGAGCAATCATCAACAATAAAATACCTTGACACAATTATTGTTCTTTGCTATAAATTATATAGCTGATTAACGCGTTAGAAAGCAATTTATTATATGGGGTCAATAACCTGATTTCTAGGTATTTAATTATAATATCAGGTGATCTGTAAAGTGAAATGTCTACCTAATAATATTTGATATAGTAAAGAATGTTTTCTGGTTAAATCATAAATTTTTACTATCACTTTAAATTGTTTTTTAGTTTTTTAAACCTTACTCAGGCTGTCTGTGTCAAGGCTAAATGTACTTTGATATACATTTTTATGTCTATACAATGTTTATGGTCATGGGAATTTGGTGTTTTATCATGTAGTTTGTCTAATAGGTAATTAGACATACGGTAATCAGCCTTCTGTGCCAGACGCAAGCAATTTTTTTGGGTCTAAAGCATACTTGTTATCTCACAAAGTTTTTTATTTCACGGGTTCGGGTTGAACCTCAGGGAAAAGACATCAAAACATGTGGAAACCACGTAGTCAACACTGCTCATATTGTTAGTAGTCTCATAAATACACAAATTTGCCACACATTTCCAAGTCCGTTTTACTAATAGAAGCTTTGCCTACCCTGTCAGTTAAAAATTTTTCTGAACCTGAGGTGATAAAGTTTTTGGTTTCACATAGCTAGAATATTACTTATAAATCTTTTACCTTTAGCTGTGAGAAAATAGCAAGAACTGTTAAGGGGTCTGTTGGAGAGATTAGTGCCCCAAAGTAGAGTGTGTCTAAAAATGTGAAGCTTGATGCCAATGATGCTGGCATCAGTTGAACAAAACCATACATAAGTGACCCAATAACCAATGCAGATAATGCTGTCCCAACCATTGCAAAGGTCAATATAGCACCTAAATTACGAAAGAAGTATTTCTGAAAGAAAATAAAATGTTTTATTGAATAAACAAATCTCTGATGTAATAACTTAATTGTATTTCTATTTTGTAATATTTAAGACACTAAGCCCCAACATTCACATTACCTATAAATACACGACCCCACTCGTCACTCTTGATGTCGTTGTACTCTCGACTACACTCAACTCTCAAGTTATTTTCTACCATAGTCGAGTCATGATTCTGACGAGGAAGCACTCTTTTCTCTCCTCTCACGAGACGCCGAGTCAAAAAAAATTTTGTTCATCCAATTTTCAATTAAGAAACAACGTACAATTCCATCATTTGTTTATGGAACTTAGAAGTGATGAAGAAAAATTTTTCAACTATTTTAGAATGTCAAAGTCTTCGTTTGATGAATTGTATAATATACTAAAGTCTCACATTAAACGGGAAGACACAATTATGAGGAGAAGTATCCAACCTAAGAAAGACTAGCATAACATTGAGGTAAGAAAAATATATAGTAATTATTTAAATTTTTATTCATTAAAAATATTGAAATTAATATCGGACATTACAGAACATGATGAAAGGTCTTCAAATTGAGAATTTTGGTCATCAGCCATTGATGTAGAGGGGCCGGTTCTGATCTAGAGGGACCAGGCACTATGTAGAGGTAGAGGGCCAGTATTATAACCCATGTCCATAATATTAAACGATGAATATCCCCTTCACCATAACTCGAAGGATATGTGTGATTTGTCATCCCTTTAAAGTATTTCACTACTTAAGTATTTCGGTCTTAGCATCTAATTTATAATGTATTAATTTTTTTGAATTCGCCAACTAATGATAGTAAAAACAATTTATCTTATCTTATTTCAATGCCGAATTCTGCGTTTTTTCATCTAAACGTTTGGATAATTTTTCAATTAAGACGTTCTCATTGTGATTTTAGTAGTTAATTTTCTTTTGTTTCTTTCTCTGGGTATTTTATTTTGACCATTTTCGGTTTCTCCGGACGTAATTTCAGTGTGCTCATTCTTTAAACTATTTGTTTTGTCGGGTCTATCTTCTATTATTGCCTTTAAAAAAGAATCTGCTGATAATATGCATATGGCCGAATGTTGAGGGCTGCTGAACCACTCTTTGGTTTAATTTTTTTACATATCTGGTTATCCATCTCTTAATGTTTTCCATTTTTTCTGTATTAACATGGCTTAACAACAAAAAAATATAAGTTAGTATAATTGATTGATTTATAAATATGTTTTACAGGTATTTGGCAACTGGATGTACATTTATGGATTTGCAATATAGTTTTAGAATAGATCAACAACAATAGGTAAGATAGTGAGGATGTTTGCAGAAATATATGGATACATATGAAGGATATGTGTATGGAACAACTAACTAAAGATAAGTGAAAGACATAATAAATGGTTTCAAAAAAATGCTCAGTTTCCAACTCCTCGTCCGTTGATGGCAAACATATTAGAATAATACAACCCCGCAAATGGATCTCATATTATAACTATAAAAATTATTTTTCGATAATACTTCTAGCAGTATGTGATAGTAATCATATGTTCACTTTCGTGGATATAGGCTCATATGGAAGGCACGCTGACTCGACTATTTTCGAAGAGAGTTGTCTATATAAAATGTTACAAGAAAAAAAGTTAAATATACCTCCACCTTCTGCAATATCACAAAATGGACCTTATTACCGAATGTGTTTATTGGGGATGAAGCGTTTAGCTTGCAGGAAAATTTAATCGTCCATATGGTGGCAAGAATTTACAGAAAAAAAAAATTTTTAACTATCGGTTATATGCGAGGCGATATATTGAATGCACGTTTGGCATATTAGCTAATAAATGGCGGATCTTTCATAGACCACTCAACTCAACGTTGATTTCGCAGTGGATATAGTAAAATCATCGTGTGTTCTTCACAACTACGTAAAACAACGAGATGGAAATAAATTTGAGGATACGTTTGAGGGTCTTCCTTATTCTTAATACATTCAACCCACAAGTTCGTCCAGTGGACCTATGTTAACAACAATCCGTGAAGAATTTGCTAATTACTTTGTGAGCGAAGAAGGCAAACTAGATTGGCAATGGAATATGATATAAATCAAAGGGCGCCGTCCTATAACATAGCCTCTGTATTCTTTTAAATATTAAAAATATAATAAGAAGCAAACAACTATTATATTGTTACCAGTCTGTTTTTTAATAATAAATAAAATAATAAATGTGTGTGTTAAATGATGACTTTTTACTTACCGATTTGATTTTTTTCTTCAACTGGTTTTTCATCAAAGTTCTCAATTACTTGGGCACAAATAATTGCCCATGCATTGTTCTTCTTTATTTTGTCGCTGTGTTCCTTAAGTTTATAGTTCCAAATAAGTTCTTGCGTTTTAATTGCGCTAATAAGGGCATCACTATCGCACACGCCCTCCATGTTCAAAAAACAGCCGGCAAATGAGAAAACAGACGCCGCGAGGCCGCAAAGGGCGGGGGAGAGGGAAGTCGGAGAGCTGTCGACTGCTCTAGCCAGTCAACGGCTCGACAGTCGGTGTATGCCTCGCAACCGCTCGCGAGCGGTCGACGGCACGATGGAATTTCATCATGCAGTTGACGGCTTGAAGCGGTCGCGACTGCTCGAGCAGTCGTGTACGGCAGCGAATGAATGACTATAGTTCACTGCGCGGTCGCGGCTTTAAGCAGTCGGTCTCAACTGCTTGAAGCAGTCCGTGTACGGCGGCCCTAAAGGTTCTATCTTTTTTTAAATAAATAAAAATACAGAATGAATTTGAATCAATAAGCTGATTCTAAAGAAGACATTATTGTATCTTACCATCTTTATGAGTATGTTTGTTAAAAATAGCATTTAGATAGACACAGATTGATTAAAAAGATATCAATCTTGACTTTACTAATTTCGTTTACAATACACAAACAATACTTAAATTTGGTATTGCAAAAGCTTGTGAAGGTAAACAATCTAAAAGCTCATATTTACTAAATCAAATTTCATTTATAATGTCTTTCAAAGTGCAATTGTTAGTTACTTACTCTTTTTAAACAGTACCCTGCATGGAAAATAATAGGTGGAAGAATAATATTGAAAAATATTTCAGGATCAAATGTAGCTTTTAGATCTATTTCATTCTGTTCTACATTAACAATTTCTCCTCTAAAGCTGTAGGCATATGTTTTGTTTGGTACCGGACCATCTGTAAAGACATGTTTATTGTGTAACATTCCCAGTTATTTTGCATAAAGTAGAAATTATCAACTTTAATAGTATGTGTTTATAAATGTAAAATATGGTGATATCAAAGTTTAATATAATTAGAACTAATGGAAAGAGCATAGGCAATAGGTACTCACCACCTGTTACTTGAATTTTATCTGGAAAGTGGAACCTAACCATATCTGGGGGAACAGACAGGTTATATTTTGAATCTGGATCTGGATGAGCATCAATATAGGTAATTTCATTTGTACTGCTTCCATATCGAATAATGGCACCAACTATAAGACCTACAACATAATAAAATTGTATTATAGTTAAAATGATTCCCCATTCATTATATTTTACCGCTTCAAAAAGACAAAAATTTATAGTTAAATTAAAGTAAATAATAACCAGTTTTAGTAGTAGGACAAGATTTTGTGTTTTTTAGATAAGAACCATTACTTATTTATTTAATTAATAAAGCCTACCATATATTACAGCCAAGCCCGTTTCGTGGAGCCAGCTCACACGACGATGCTTAAAAACCCAAATTGTAAGCACGGTCAGGGTAAGAAGACATGTATAAATTAAAAGATTTAAACTATCTATACGATGGAGCAAAGTAGCCTTAGCATCAAGTGCTATGTCAGCTCCAGAAGCATCACATGACACAATTATATACAAAAAGATATTACAGTAGACAAATAAAAGATTCATCTTGCACAACGAACGAAAATATCACATCACCGGAAAAATCGATTTGAAACTATCTTTAGCTCACATAACAAAGAAATGTTTATTTATAAACAGTACAGATTTTAGAATAAATTCCTCTGAAATATATTACACTGCAATTCAAATTAAAATACTGCTTGTTAAATAAAGCAATCCGCGAAGAAAACAATATTTAACGAATATTATTCTAAACACTACACTAACGTCGTACGTAACTTCGTCGACTTTACCAAAAAATTTAATGACACCTGACACAATTGAAAATAAATATTGGTCAAATGTCAGCCTTTAATCATCAGCATCTTCACTCACTCATCTTCTATTGAAGTTTCTTTTCAAATTTGACAGCGGACATCTGGCATATATTTCTATGATGATTTACGCGGGAAATATTAAAATGGGTTTACTTTGTACTTTAGAATCAAACATGTAGTAGAAGTAGCCATTAAATTGCATATTATTTCGAATGTTCAATTTATTGCTATGAATAATTTAATCCATATGTTCAAGTTATACATAGATTTTCATCTTATTTGTTAATGCGAGCTCATACTGCCGAGTAGCCAAAACTTTTAGGAATAAAATTATGTGACCGCAGTCTTTGTTTTTACAAAAGTACAGTTTGTGTAACTACGTATTAACAATTTGTATTAATTATATCACATAAAGGGCACTACAAAAATTAATGTAGTATTTAAAGTGAATGGCGGAAGGTGGAACACAGGCGAAGGTTGTTAAATAATAAATAATAGCCATTAAGACACTTTACCAATAGTATTAATTAGTAACAATTAAAGAAATTAAGAAATTTTAAAAGGTACTAATTAGACATTCGTTATTTGGCCGACATTTATTGTTTTGTATTAATATTGTAGGTAATAAGTTTTTATAGCAAATTATACCTACTAACATCCGGAACTCACGACACTATAATAAATGAATATCAAATCGGCACCCAACATGTCAAGTTATCAAGGTCTTTATGGGTTATATACGATATTTTTAATAGGCAGTACCAAATGCGTTTTATTAGTTCCCTACTTACTAATTAATACAGTATGTAGTACACATAGTAGGTGAATGAAGCAAAATTAATATAACAAGTATGTACCTACTGGAGAACGTAACGATTTTGCATCGTATATTTCTCCACTTTTATCTAATAGCTCAATCAATATTATTAACTTTTAATTGACAATTACCCCAATCAGTCTAATTTACCTTGTATATAAGTTTACATTTTTTATTACACGATATAATTTTATGTATAATTAAGTAATGTAATTTTATTTCCTTAAGGTATTTCGTGTCAAGGAGATCGTAACATTGTAAGATAATTTAGCTGTATTGTAGTTATATACTAACAAATGCATTGAGTTAAATATACAGGGTGTCCCAAAAGTCGACGTCAAGTCGAAATTTTCTCATAGGTAATGCCACACCAGTTATTAGAAAAAAGAAAAAAAATAAGTCATGTATTTTTGAAGTTATGGATATTTTTTTGTTATTCCAGAAAATGCACAACATGTGACAGTTTTTTCATTCCTGTTGTTACAAATATTTACTCTTTGCCAATTTTTTTCCTCTTACGTCATCCGGAATAGTGTTTTATGTAACCTATGATCCTAAACTCTGTGCTGATCACTCCAACTTTTAGGAAAATGTCATTTTATACCGTACCAAGTATTCAAAATTAATTTTCGCACTACTTCAACTGATCGTCCTGAAAAAAAAATGTATTACTCCAGTTTGGCAAGTATCTTTAAAAGTTAGCGCATTTAATAAGGATTCTACAGTGGTATAACACTGAGTCCATTATTTCTTAGATCGGCCATAAGAATTTTTTTTTGTTAAACAAAGTCTGTTTTTAACAATCTCTTTGAAATTACAACAAATGATTCTAGCGCACCCAAAACGTTCCTAATGACCACAGCGTGGTTTAAATAAGATGGAGAGAGACATTCCATAAAATGTGAGCGAGACAGATAGTGACGCTTATGACATACGGACGCAAATAAGTAAAATAGACAGTTTCTTTTTTATGATTAGATTTATTACTTTTTTTATAAAAGATGTTCAAATTGTTCAAAGTCCTTCAGCTGCAATACAGGCTCGTCATCTCCTTAAAAAAGATCGTGAAATGAAGCGGGCAAATCGTCCATTATTCACAAATTCTACTGCTTCCGCTATTCTCTGTCTAAGCTCTTCTACATTTTGAATCGACTTGGAATAGACTTTTTCCTTTACTGCTCCCCAGTAAAAAAAATCAAGAGTATTTAAATCGGTTGAGCGGGCGGGCCACGAGATTGTACCACCCCGCCCTATCCATCTGTCTGGATACTCCTCGTTAAGGTGGTTTCGAACTAAGCGGCTGTAATGCGCTGGACAACCATCTTGCTGGAACCACATATCTCGTAAAATAGTAAGCGGCACGTCCTCCAGCAAATTGGGCAAATAATTTTGTAAGAAATCTAAATAAATTTCAGCATTTAAAACTTCTGGTAACTCAAAAGGCCCTATGACTTTTCCGTTCAAAATTCCAGTCCACATGTTAACTTTGAAACGGTACTGTGATCTGTCTGGTCTCATCAATCGTGGATTTTCGACGTGCCATTCGTGCAGATTGTGTCGGTTCATGTAGCCGTCTTTTTTAAAAGTTGATTCATCCGACTATAAAATTTTTTCTAAGAATTGTGGGTCTTCTCGGTGTTTTTGAATTATTGTTTGGCAAAAAGCAACCCGAGGTTCATAATCTCGAGGTAATAAGGATTGTACTCGCTGTACATGAAATGGATGAAACTCATTTTTTTGTAGTATTCGGTGAGCTACCTATGAGAAAATTTCGACTTGACGTCGACTTTTGGGACAACCTGTATATTGAATACTTTAGATACTTTATTTTTTTTTGAAACTGTATGATTAAGTTGTATTGCAATCACATTTTTTTTATAATATAATGTTTAAACGATTATTAATTTAATTAATATTTACCGTTAACATTAAACGTATATTTTAAAATATAAGTTTATAATACCTTAAATTATATACATTATATTATGCGTATGTAGTTGTGTGGCATCGGCAGTTCCAAACTATGTAAATAAGTTCTTAGCTAAACTTTATAATAAAAATTTAGCCCTTAATAAAATAAATTGTCGAATCTAAGAGTCAAAATGAAACACAAAATAGCATTTTATATTCGGCATAAATCTGCTTGAATAATTTATCTATAGAAGTAAGTGATTAATATGAATTTTCGAATCCCTTGGAGGACGACGACGAGGACTTACCTCTCTCAAACCAAATTTTTGAGCTTCCATTTATACGCCTTTATTACCAAACCGATTAATAGTAAGACATAAAAAATACATTAAAAGTTAAGGTAAAACATATTTTTAATTAAAGATTTTAATAGAGGAAATGTTATATATGTTTTTATGTATCCTGGAAGTTTCACAGTAGGTAGATAATTATTACTTTAACAAGTAATAATTTGCAAATTATACTTTTATGAACCTGCGGGGAGAACCCAGATGAATAAAACCATAATCCAAGAAAACTTGTGATGTCGTGACATGTCAGTGCATTTTATTTTTTATTTTATATATCAGGGGGACAACCTGCAGGAGGCTCAGCTGATCTCCTCTCCTCCTCATTCACACGCAATATTTCTAAGACAAGCATGACTCGATAGAACGACGTTCCGAACAATTTTATTAAAAATTATATACTCGTTCATGGATATCATAGACAATAAAGTGTTCATTTCGATACAATTCACCCGAATGCTGGACGTTGCCACCTCCAATCCTCTACATCCAAGGCATTACGTCTTTCAAGATAAAATGTAAAAGTAATCTTTTGAAATTTTAGTTGGCAGGGTTGGCAAATTAGTTGCATTGTCTTATGAATTACATATTCTGTTTGTGTTTGAATTTTTTTTTTTTTTTTATTTGAATTGTAAACATTTTTGTTTTGATTAGTGTGTATAGCGTCACTCTAAGATAGTACAGGCCCACTGAAAATCAGTGTTGCTCAGTGTTCGTATTTCTTTTATTTTTATACATCTATGTGTGCTTTAATCAAATAAATGTTTTTTTCTTTCTTTCTTTAATTATTAAGCACTTTTAACTACAAACAAATTTTATAATAGAATATAATGTTGTATACAATTTTACCTGCGGTATAAAATAATTGTAGGTAGAAATAACACACCGTTTAATAGTTTGCACTCAACAACATTTTAAGAACATTTTAATAAAAGTAGATATGTGTGATAACTATTAAATAGATCCATTCTCATTGATTTCTTTATATATTACATCAAGGTAATCCCCTTTTTCTCTTTTTCAAGCCATAATTTTTATTCGAAACCTGGGGCTTTTAATAAAACTCAATTTATTGTCAAGGCAAATAGCACATTGTTGGGCACGTTCTTATCACGTCAGTCGATATAGAGATAAATCCTTATGTCTTTAAGTACTCATGTGATGGTTTGATCGCTCTTGGAGAATGGCGATGACGTTTGATCCTCGATGGTTGAATTGCAAGGCTTGAACGTGCAGTGCGCGATTGATTCGCGCGCGTATTGCACGCATTCACAACCTTCGAGTAACCACAATTTTTTTAACGAAACTAGTATTTATAGACATGTAAACGAATTTACCAGTGATATAGTGATTATAACGTTATAGTGAATTATTCAAGATGAAGTTTATTTCTTTTGTTTTTATTGTTATATTTATAAGGTAAGTGCTACATCCTTCGAGTATAAAAAACCAAAAAAATACTTTTGAAAATGAAACGAAATGCCATATAAAATTCACGGGTAAACCGAATATTGTCTTTGTTTAAAGGTATTGGGTGTTAGATATATTGTTTATTTATTTCGTATTGTGGTAATAATATATATGGTAAATATTTAATGCCTTATCATTTACAATTTTACATTTCCCTGAATTTATTTGAGATCTTTCGAATTTTGAACAACACAAGATTTCGAATTCGTATAAAAAAACAGTTCGAACCCAAGACCCTTACAATAACCCAATTGGATAATTTGAAACGTTTTGAATCACTTGCATAGAACGTTTATCATTTACAAATTATATTTGTAGTTATTATTTAATGTGAAGGGAGATTGAGATTCAGGTAGGTTTCTAATCTTAATTTAAAAGTACTCTGGGTGCCTTTATAAATATTCGTAATTTATTTGTATTTTATCATTAAAAAAACTGCTTTACAAGTGGAAGTGTAATTAAAAATTTAATTTAATCCTTAAATGCTGTATCATTGACGTTCATCATTAACATATCAATGGTTGTTATTTTTTTTAATGAGGTAATATATATGCAAATTCTAAACGAAATTTGTCACACAATGTATAATATGGTTTTGTTGATTGTATTGTCGCACCTCCTTGCTTCATTTCATAATCCACCGTACATATAAATTCTCCCACTTATTCTTAAAAACTAAATCAGTTCGATTGCACCTGCCTCTTTTCGCCACTGCGTGAACATAATTTAGCAGAAAGAGGCAAAATATACCTTTAACTAAAAGAGCGTAATTCGTATACGTTTCATTTTTATATAAAATATTAGGACACATGTGTAATGCGAGGAGGAAAGCAAACTCAAGCTCAAACTTAAACTCAATATAATTTATTCATATATAGGTAACCAAGTACACTTATGAACGTCAACAGAAAAGATGTTAAATTGATTGTAAATTTACATTTACTACCAGGTCGCAAGTCAAGGGCGTTTAATGTTCACTTTATAAAAATATATTGTTTCCCTGAGAATCGAACCAAGAGTCAAAAAGATAAATCAAAAGAATGGTCAAGTAAACCAGATTGGTGCATTACATACATTAGATTAGAAAGTAGTTTTCATATATAAATAACCTTCTGCACTGAGTTTGATTTTCCTTTTATGCGACAGTTGAAGGATTTCCTTACGGAAATAACTTCCTATAAATGATAAATTATTACGACGCCCTAGAAATTTGGCCTTATGTTAGGGCACTTGTAAATTGTTGCTGTCTGGTTTGTGCCAGGATTCTATATTCAAAATTCGAATGTCATATCTACGAATGTAGCAAAAACGCTTAGTTCGTCAATTAGTTCTATCATACTGAGAATAACTCTAAATATGCAATAACGTATTTATTTAACGAAAGTTAAAATAATTTCTACACAGAAATTCATTGAAATGCAAAGCAGTATTGTACCAATTATAAGGCTCAAGGCTATTAGATATAAATTACTGTTGATTATATATTATTTGAAATAAGTAAATTATATTACTACGCCAACCAAAATCCTTGCAATATAGCTATTTACAAGTATAAAGACACTTGTTTATAATAGTAACAATAATTATCTATGATAAGGTGCATTATGGGAGTATTAACTTTACACAATGCAAATATCATTCAATCACGTTTTATATTATGAAGATTATAAATCTCGACCCGAATCTGCATTAAACAAGAAAATCACGAAATTATTATATGAAAAATATAGTAAGTAAGCATTTAATTTGTAAAAATAAATTTTGTTTATAATATATATAGCATTAATAAGATTTTTCATACAGAAATATCAGTAAACACACTTGGAAATGAACAAATATATCTTTTTATTTTTCTGAAATTTACGTTTCTGCGGTAGGATTTGTTAAATCTTTATATTTCCATATGTGTGTAGGTTGTTAAAATATTATTATCCTATTATTTTGCATAGGTTAGTCCAACAAAGATCATGTTTTTTTTAAATATTGAATTTGAAAAAATATTTAGGTCTGATTCTGCACATCCTCAATTTAAAATAGCATTAATACCACTTAATATGTACCAGACGATCTTCATTACTCAAGCTAATCTACTTAAGCAAATATATATAAAGAGATCTAATTTCTGGAAAAGTATAATTTACACTCTTTATTTATTTAATTAAATCTTTTTATAAACTAAATTAGTAATATATTTGAATCATTGCATATAAGAAATGGTTGACCACAGTATTTTCACAATTCCGTAAACCTTTTGTATTAAGTCTCGTAACTGAATTGAGATGTTTTTACAGAAATGGCGAAGGTGTTAACTTTTCCGGTGGCCTTAAGTCGAACTATACGTTTCCAAAAGATTTTTCCTTTGGCGTTTCAACAGCTGCTATACAAATAGAGGGAGCGTGGAATGAAGATGGTAAGGTTTATTAACAATACAACCATTAATATATCCAAACAGTTCGTCGAATCGCGAACAACAAATTCGTTGCCAGTAAAATGATTAATCCCTGACGTCGGACACGGGACTTAACGTTTTACAAATTAAGTTTTCAAAAGCAAATAAATAAGGATAAACTACCTCCCGTTCTACATAACTTAATTCTTTTAAAACTATAAATTTTATTTTTACAGGAAAGTCTGAAAGCATATGGGACAACCTAGTCCGCAGAAATCCAAACTTTACGAAAGATGGTTCGACTCCCGACGTAGCAGCTGATTCATATCATCTATATAAACGAGATGCGGAAATGGTCCATGAACTCGGTGTAGATATTTACCGTTTCTCTATATCTTGGCCACGAATATTACCCAACGGCTTAATAAACTCCGTCAATAATTTAGGCATTCAGTATTACAAAAATCTTATCAACGAACTAGAGAAATATAACATTACACCCATGGTTACTATATATCATTGGGATTTGCCCCAGAAATTGCAAGATATGGGAGGTTTTAGCAACGAGCACATTGTAGAGTACTATACAGATTATGCCAATTTATTGTTTGAAAACTTTGCTGATAAAGTGAAATACTGGGTCACGTTCAATGAGCCGATGCAGACTTGTTTGGAAGGTTATGGAGGTACTTATAGGGCACCGGCCCTGAACAGACATGGTATCGCCGAGTACCTCTGCACGCATAATCTGCTTAAGGCCCATGCTGATGTATATCACTTGTATAACAAACAGTACCGACCAATATATGGAGGTAATAATATTTATTTTGTTGAATATTTCCGGTTTGCGTAGAACTTGTTTGAATTATTGGTATGCGCCAGTAATTGTTAATCGCGGCTACAACCAATGTTTTATTACGACTGAAACTATATTGTATTCTATTAAAATAAAGATATCTATTAACGAAAAGTTTTAACTAAGTTAAAAATTAAACAAATTTACATCTTAATACTTACTAAATAGTTACATTTAAAATGGTATTTATGCCAATAGAAACTCCCTCGGTATAAGCGATATCACATAATGTATCTTATTCCTTTCTATAGGTAAAATTGGTATTTCACTTGACTCTAATTGGGCACAACCGAAAACTAACTCTCCAAGTGATATAAAGGCTGCTGAACTATATTTAAGAACTCACGTAAGTAACATGTTCTGTTATTGCCTATTCCATCCTGTTATCATAAAATATCATATCTTTCAATATAATTTTGTTCATTATTTTTTTATTTACCCTAGTATAAATAAAATACGATGTAAGTAATGTCATCAGTACCTCCGTCATTTTAGTAGTCTTAAAGAGAATGCAGATCTAGGTCGTTTAAGTTTTCCTGTGAGTCACGTTATCTGTGACTTTGACCCAGCCTTTGGGAAAATACCATTCAATCCTAAATAGCAGTAATTATCCACATTCTAGGACTTTACCGTTAGTTTGAATCCGGATTGTAGTATAATTTTTGATCTCGGTAGAACAGTCGACTATGAACGAAATGTGGTTCTGCTAGGAAAAGGCAGAAAGCGGATCTTTGATGGTACAGTGTTTTTTTAATAATTATCGGCAGAACAGTGTACCATTTCCAACTAATTCTACCGCGGCTTATTCGCTTTAAAACAATGCGTACAAAAGAACGAAGGTTTAAGATTATATCTGATATAGTTCATATACATCTAGTTACTTCAATAAAATTACTAAAAGATAATAAAATGTGTCCTCTCATACCCTTAGATAGTTGAATGTCACGTTGCACCAAACACTTTATATTGGGGTTTTTAATCTGATAAGTCAGCACGTTATAAATACTAAGAATAACATTATTTAATCTAAGATAACATAAAGATAATGCATCATTTTCTTTTTAACAGGTTGGCTGGTATGCTCACCCCATTTTCTCAAGTGAAGGAAATTATCCGCCAGAACTGATTCAACTTGTAGACGAAAAAAGTCGCCATCAAAACTACTCCAGATCACGTCTACCTAAATTCACTCAAGCGGAAGTGGATCACATTAAGGGAACAGCAGATTTCTTTGGCTTGAACCATTATACCACGTACTTGCTGAGCATGGCAGAGAAGGAAGTGGGTCAAATCCCATCTCATGAGAATGATGTTGGTATTGTACGGGTTCAAAATCCTAAGTGGCCATCGATGTCTTCTTCAAATTGGTTGAAAGTAAGTTGCCTAAGCCCTAACGTGTATGTAACAACACATACTTATTTTCTTCGAACGGTAATCGAACCTATATCAGTTATTCCATCCGCATCCTTTAGTAAACAATTATCTACTAAAATAACGAAATTACGCTAAACAAAACTTACTATATCTTTAAAATAAAATTTAATTTCTTAGAAGTAAACTTTTCTTCGTAACGTACATAGGTCTTTTCCCTGTTGATATTGTTTAAAAAAAATACTCCGTATATTTTTTTGTTTCCCGAGACGTTTACAAAACCCATTGTTTAAATAGAAAAACATTTTATAAAGAACTCGAAATACATTTAACGTGAAACAAAGCCTTTATAAATGCTTTTTTAGAGAAGTATTAACAATATATTATATGTGTTTATTTTGCATCATTCTACAATTGTAAAAATAGAATAAAATAACAACACTGCGACAGGTTTTAATTGAAATAAAAAACACAAAGCATTCAGTTTCTTAGAACTGGTTCTCCTATAGTCAATATTGCAGTTTTTATTTCTGTATGTGCAAAACATTCGTCAAGGATTCTGATCGAAAATTTGATTTGCTTCTTATTAATTTACTAATAAGTTGTAAGATAACTTAATAAATTAAAAAGATATGACATAGCATTTGAATAAACGAGATAATAATTCTTGGAATTAATTCGTTTTGGAATCCAATAAATTATATTTAATGGGATATTAACATTAAAAAATAAATTAATAAACCGCCTAACTTTGAGAGAGAGAGACCTCTGATCTTTGGAGAATTTATTTAAATATTTACTGACCCTAACAGATTTGTTGTATATTATATATATTAACTAGCTGACCCGGCAAACGTTGTTTTGTCATCTACTTATATTATTTCTAGGAAACATTTTTTTAGTTCATTAAAAATAACTATCTACTATAATAAAAAATAGGGGTTGATCGTAGAGGCGTAACAATTAAGGATTGTATGTATTTTTGTATACTGTATCCTAAAAAAATAAAAACTAATAAAAATCTAATAAATAAAATTTTGGGGTGGCCCCTTATCACTTAGGGGTTTGAAAGATAGATAGTAGCCGATTCTCAGACTTAATGAATATGCATAAACAATTTTATAAGAATCGGTCGAGCCGTTGCGGAGAAGTATGAGAATTTTTTACATTAGACAATAATTTCCTCAATCTCAGCATTGGTTTGGATTTCAATAGCTTATACAATCCTTACGGTGCTCAGGCGTTATTTGCTGTGAGATTTTTTTTTTAATTTCTTAAATTTTAGGTGGTGCCATTCGGGTTCCGTCGTCTTCTAGCGTGGATAACAAGGACGTACAATAACATTCCTATAATCGTTACCGAAAACGGCTACGCGGATTACAGTGGAATTCATGATAACGCAAGAGTTACCTACTACTGCCATTACTTGAATGCCCTGTTACATGCGATACATGAAGACAAGAGCAATGTTCAGGGATACTTCGCGTGGAGCCTAATGGATAACTGGGAATGGGACGATGGATTTGTGTAAGTTCTTTAAAAATGTAAATGAATATCATAAGGAAACCGTATGGGTGCGGCGTAGATTGTGTTTGGTTTAAAGAATATCGCTGTAAATTAACTGGGCCTAAACCAATGAAACGAATCGCGCTGTCGTCTTTTGTTTTAAATTCTCAACGGTTTAGATTCCGTGTTTGGAGCTTACAAGTAATAATAATAGTACTTTTTTGTAAATATAGAACCACAATGGTGTGGACGGATTTAGGGTTGTCAGTTTTGAGAATTACACGCTCAAGCCATTAGGTAAACACTGATCTCTGTTGTAATAAAAGTATAAAATAAACTAGTTTATGCAACGATTAACTTGATTCGTTGAGTTCCGAATTTAAAAAATATATCTATAAAACAAGATCTAACTGCAGAGCTACTCTTTACTCATTTCCAAAATCTACACGATAATTAGCCGAGATAGACGTTCAGTAATGTAACGATTCCAATTATTATAACATCTTAATATAATACCGAATTGCAATGCAGTACTATTATGATCCGTAGTGCGGATTTGCTTAAAATAACGGTTCGATTACTTAAGATCGCAATCGCTATTGAAGTTCTCGAGTTAAGCCGGCTTTTTTTACTGAGATCTCGACTTCGTATAAAATAATTATATTCAGTAATAATGGCAAAAACACCTTACACAAGGAAAATTGCCTTTTAAATCCGTAGACGGTGATTATATTCATAAACGTCCTTAACAATTTAATGAACACTAGAGGTCATTCATTGTCACTGAAATCTTTAAATATCTTAAAGTCAAACTAATGACATTTCAAGCATATGCAAATACACATTTTGTCTTATATACAATATTGTCACGTACTGATTAGGAATATGTTCTGTAGCAACAATGAAAATGTATATTAACTTAATTACTGTAGTTGTTATAATTTAAGAACATCAGGGCAGTGAAAACCAAATAACCAAGTTTAAGCATGAAGTTCTCAACGGTGCCCCAATAGATTTTTCGATGCGTACATAAATTCATCGTAAAGGTAGAAATCTGAAAATGTACCCCGAATTGTGCCAGACAGATGCAACAAAAATTCAAAAGCGCTACAACCCTGCACGGGTTATTAGGAAATGCTCAAGTCTTTAAACTTCAATGCGATATTCAATATATAAAGATAATAAATTTTAACTAATTTTCATTAAAATATGTGTTATAGGACCTTGTGAACTACTTTACATATACTGTAGCGAATGCTATGAAGTAATTGTTTTTTCAACTGGTGTACGTTTTTGTTTAAAATTATTTACGCGTCACCCAAAAACAAAAGTGATAAGACTAATCATATTTAATACTCATCTTTGTCGAGAGGAAAGATAAAATTATGCATCCAAGGCTATATAAAAATCTATTTAAATTCATCATACGGAGTAGAGTGTGCAATACATAATTGTGTTCACAGATATTGTTGCACGTTTAATATTTTTCAGAATTACCCACAATATAAGTGCGTGCTCCTATTTCACCGTGCCTCCTGCGGATAGAGGACAAATATTGTTTTTAATTTATTTTACTGTGATGTATTACTTAAGATGTCATGTGGAACATGGTGTAATGGTTCAGCTCCTTACGAACGTTGTGTAAAACAAAAAACTTGGCGATTAAAAAGAGTGGCGGAGAGTTTATTGCCAGTTCTTCTCTTCCGTTCTACGCCCTTGATTTGAGAACTGGCGGAAAATGTAAAATTGGAAGAATTTCAAATATATTTTTTGGTCATAAGTGTACATTGTAACCTTTATGAATGAATGATTTTTGACTTGACTCGATGAGGTCTTCATATATACGGACAATTTTAGGGTTTCTCGTGACCTCAGTCAATCATATTCCGCTCGATCGATTTAAAACTCAATCAAATTAAAATGTAATTCTAAGCTTAAGGTTTGACAATTTTGGGTTAAAAAGCTCAATAGAACGTCACTAATAAAACATTACCAATATTTCCTACTACAAATCTATACAGCCAGTGAACTGTATGAAAGTGATAAAATAAGCAATAATTATAATCTTTAGAGTCATAAATAAAACACAATATCCGTCATTCATGATATATTTCACTCGTCATGTATGTAAATGCATTTGCAGGTCTCGCTTCGGTCTTTACTTGGTCGATTTTGAGAGTCAGAATAAAACGAGGACGGCCAAGGACTCGGCACGATTGTACACGAGTGTGATCTCCTCGCGAGGCTTGCCAGAGAATTACGATCCTGATGACTACTCTGCCTTCTCATCAGCATCGAAAGTCCTGCCTACTGTTCTCCCCCTCATCCCCCTATACCGATATCTACTTTAATTATATACCTCTGTATATAAAATTAATAAAATTAAGTATTTAATATCATAATGTTTTCATTCCTATAGTATTAATACTCGACAGTCATAAGTTTGCTTGCGTTGTCGCGGGCGACTTCTCTTTTCAGCTGAGCCTGTATGCAAGCAAATGATTTCCCCTTGGTCTCGGGTAGCACGGCTAGAATGAACACCAGCCCGAGGATTGAGCACGCACAGAAGCCCCAGAAAACTGTGTAGATACCATATGTATCTCTTATTACCTGGAATTATAAATTGCTGATATTAGTAATGTTGATGACAGCTTGTTGATCTGAGATGAACGTCATCTCAATCAATGTGTGCGTAAGAAGTGTAAAGTAATAGGTACTCGTAATACTTGATAATAATTGTTTCTTAAGCCACTAATCAAAGAGCTATTTGACGTATTTATTCGTTTTCCTTTCATTAGAAATACTTTATATTTAAGCGTCTCGTTGTTCTGTTTTATGTTTAGTTTTTCCCAAAAATAAAGAATATACGTGTGTGTGTAAAAGTAATCTTAGATGATATATATAAACGGAGAGGATGGTTTAATATTAAATAGTTTTACCTGGAAGAGTTTTTGAACAGCAAACATGGAAACTCCAGTATAAATATGAGCGACACAGGAGGCGTACAACTTGACGTTGGTCGGAAACATTTCTCCAATAATCACGTAGGGCACCGTGGACAGACCAACAGCGTAGCAAATAATGTAAATCATCATAGCCGCTATCGGTAGCCAATGAAGGACTGCGACTGACTCCTTATTCGACAGGTAGAAGTAGAAATAAGTTCCAAGAACGCCATTCATTAGTCCCACCCCTAGCGCAGACAATAGAAGCAGTGGTTTCCGTCCAACACGATCGACCAAAAGAACCGACAGGCAGCAAGTGGCAACTTGGACACATCCCACATATATTGTTGCCTTATACGGCTCTATGTGGCTATCAGTTATATCGAATATTGTTTGGGCATACGCAACAAGAGCAGCGCTGCCACAAAACTGTTGGATTGTGAAGATTCCTAAACTTATCCAGAGGGCTTTTCTGTTCGTCGCTTCGGTTACCAGATCACCCCATGTACCTCGGTTTTTCATGTCCTCCTGAACGTTGATTTCTATGTTTTTAAGTTCCAATCTTATATCACCACTGCGTAAATGTCTAAGAGCACGTTCTGCTCTCTCCGTGCGCTCAAATTTCAGGTAATAGTAGGGCGATTCGGGCAGAAAGATGAAAGTTAATACGAAAGTAATGGGCAGGATCATGTTGATAGCCGCTAAGGTTTTTATGGTTACGAATGGTCCGATGCAGTATTGGGCAAGAATTCCAACCTGAAATAAGAAAATGTATATTGTTAGAATTATAATCAAAAGTAACCAAAATTCTGGATTCGCTTCTAAGATTTCAGAGTCAACAAACATTTACATTAAAGTTCGTTGTCTATATTTTTTTTGGTTTAGAATTAGCACTTGATATTCTACTTTTTACTTACAGTTTTTCAGGTTATCATGATTAAGTTAAGCTATGGAGTATCCTTGAATAAGTTGGAAAAGTAAAAAATATCTGTGTCGTGTTATCTTTCTTATGAGTCACGAGAACAGACAGTTTAAAAATTGCATTTCCTTCAAAATGTTTGGACCAAGTCATTTTATTTTAGTCTCCTTACTCTATATTAGGGTATGGGATTAAGACTCTCAAGATTAAATGCCCAAAACCAGCCTGTCTTTTTACCCGCATTAAAACTAGGACTTTCAAATTTCGATTCTCTAATTCACTCATCCACGAAGGAAGTTGTTTAAATTAATTTATAATACGAGTATAACGCTTTGTCAGTTTACTCTTCCAGTCATATCTTGTTAATAAAACACCATAAAACTTTACTATTTAACAAATGAATATTGAAATCACACGTGGCCTAGATATTAAAACAGTACATACAGCGTTCTGCAAATTCAATAATTAAAAATATCTCTCAAAATTAGTTCACGCAATCGGTAGTTCAGCGATAATTAAGTTTAATAATTTATACACAACTGTTTAGTTATTTTCACAAACGTATGGCCTCGTTTCAACAATGTTATATTACCTTATTCATCAATGTGATAAGTGTAGAGAGGGCGCCACGGACTTCATTCGTAGCTATTTCTCCCGTGTACATTGGAGCAACTGTGTACACTATTCCATAACCAAGCCCGGAGAACATTCTAGCCACATATAGCACGGCAACAGACTTGGCTACGATGACTAATATCCAGCCAATTATGAAGGGGACTGCTCCAAGGAGTAATGTGGTTTTTCTGCCAAAGCGGTCTGCGAAGTATGCTGATGGTATCGGCGTGAGTGCCGAACACAGGATCATGATGGACACGATCCATGATCCTTCGTCTGCTGTTGTCGGTATGTAACTCTGCGGTGACTGCAGATACTGAAGAATGGGGGAAGGCCAACCGTAGCAAGTACCTGCTGTTGCGGTGATCAGCGTCGCTGAAAATCGAAAATATGTTTATTATATTACTTGAATGTATGTCTGTTTATTACTCCTAGAACAATTATTTGTAAAAATAAAGTGTAAATACGTGACTCAGTTTTATTTAATGTCACACGTACTGTCCAATAATTTTCCACAGTTACTAAAGGATTGATGTATTTATCTAGGCAACATGTTGACAAATATAATGTTTACCTACAATAGATAAGATGTCCGTTAACATCGAGACAGATAAAGGACGCACGTACCCTACTTCACAAATTACGAAATGTTTATTATTTATTATATTAGTTTACACGCGATAAATTAGTGGATAACATCTACAGTGTTTAAATAGACATAGGTATAATTAGATATCTAGAAAATATAGATAAATCTTATATGGATATCTTAAAGGTTTACAAACATTAGACCTAGAATAAAGAGCACAAGCAAAATTTATTGTATAATGTATTCAATAGTCGAGAGCCTGAGGAAACTCATACCAACAATATAACGCGTTATTAAAAAATTAACAAACGCCTTAACTATGTATTGTTCTTCGATTCTGAAGTGCTCTACCATTCTCATGGAAATAGGAAGACCCAATTGTACTAATCTAAGAAGGCCATAGTATGTTATGCGAGTTTTAAATTGGATTAAAAAAATTAAAAATTGATATAACATTAAACCGACGATACAGACGAGTCGTTCGGTTATCGCGGTTATCACAATTTGTGGAACTTCTTTCTCGAATAATAAACAATTATTATACGGAAATAAACCATTGTAACGTCGTCACACTGTATTAATGTACAATGTTATTAATCTTTTTTAACTAACAAAGAACTTATAAACGCTTATTGAGTTTATGACTTAAAGCTTAAATTTATATGTGGTATTAAGGTTTATTGCGTTATTAAGGAATATCAATTATTACTCTAGATGATATTCGGACCACAAGAAAACGCGCTATCTTTTATTTACTTGTTTATTATAGTGACACTTATTAATATTAGAATACGGTGTACCTACATAAGATTAGGAGATATTACTTTGCTATTCATCTATTAGATCTATAAAAGCTATAAGCTTTTATCCTATTGTAGACAGTTCAAATTACAGGAAGCACAAACGGATAAGGATCATTCAGTAAAAGCAAATTAAATGATTTGATGTAACTGTTGAGAACGGAAATAATTTTGTAAAGAAAGGGTTGTACGCAGTCAAGCACTGCGAAACTTCAACTTGTGAAAACCGGTATTATTCGGATTAATACTTTCAGAAAACATATTTAATTAGGCTTTACTACTATAAAATTAATATCCATTTAACAACGTGGCAGATTATAGGCAAATTCCTGTATTACCTATTTATACGGAAGTGACACAATACATTTGATTTAAATAGTATTAACCAGGCTATTGCAGTAATTGTGTATTATTATTAAACAGTAGCAATGTTTCGTTAATAAATCAATCATGTTTACTCATTAACTATTAAGATAACATAACAAAGTAAACAGTTTTAGAAAATTAGGTGAAATCTACGAAATTTTGGATAAATGGGTATTATTTATCCAAAATGATTACGAACATACAAAAATCTGAAGCTCATACCTTAAAGGTTGTACCGCTACTGGAATTTCTTTCTTTTATCGAAATACATAACCAATTTTGATTAAAACGTAGTAAAATTATTGACGTACACAATTTTGATCATAAATTTAATAGTATTAGCCCGGTATAGTGATGTAAGGACAAAGAACGATTGCCAGTTGGCACCAGTTTTTGATTTTATACGGCGGTGTAAACTTGGACTGTAGTACGTAATTCCTAATTTAATTATTAATTAAATACATTTTCTGGAAGACATAATTATGGAAACGCCCGTTATATTACCTTGGGTATTTACATTTAGAGGTTCGTCATAAATTAAAAGGCATCGTTATTTGTCTTTGACATAATGTATCTGACTTAATTGTAATAGGGAAGTAACGGTTTGAATACTACTGATTGCTAATTATTTTTGCATTACTTTACATCTTATTAAAATAACGAATTGTTAAATTACCTTTTATCAATAAATAGAACTAAATTATAAATAAATATATATGGCAAAGATATTTATAGAAAATTCTGTTTATTATACTGGTTTAAACGAGATTCAAAATATCTTTTGGCAGTGTTGGCCTAGTGGTTTTTCTGTCTATCTACGCATTTAACACTCGCTCGAACGATGCCTTAGACCTTAAAAATTGTTAGCATGACAGGTAAAAGGCTGATCACCTACTAGCCTATTAAGAAAAATAAATGTTCAAGAAATAGATACAGAAATCTGAAGGCAGGACCTAGAGGTTGTGGCACCACGGGTTATAAAATGTTATTAAAAAATGTCAATAGTTACAGGTACAGTAGCAACTAAGTACCGATTGATCTAACATTAGTCTTGGTACATAAGTTTTTACGATTTCCAACGCTTTTACCATAACTCGACTAATTTTGGTCTAGCTTAGTCTGAAACGTGTACAAGAATTGGCAACATCAATCATTATTACATTCAACGAACGTCACCATTCAAATATAATTTGGTACGCTAGTAATTTTGAATACCATATATGTAATTAGTAATAATGTGTGTCTATAAAAAGTAATATTGACGTTATGACGCAACTCTAACAATGTTATTTATTGCGTCATGCATTCAAGAGAAGTGTAACACAAAAACTCTGACCAGACTCAATTGGTTTATATTATTAAATAGTTAACGATCACTATACACGATATAATGGGGATAAAACATTATAGGAGCTTCGACAATGAACGCGAACAATACGAATAACGATTCGTTGATAAAGTCTAACAATTCGTTATCCGTTAGGCCGCACCGGCCATTTCACAAGTATAAATAGCTCACGTGTGTGAGTCACGTCTTTGAAGGTAGCAGTCATTCGCTAAATGAACACAAATGCGTTATTCTTCCCCGTCTAGTGTCTAGTGTCAACGATCTAGGTGAACTTTCAACTATATTATAAGGTAAAATAAGACGTCATTTAAGAAGATCTATTTTTTAATAGAGACAAACTATACACGACTAGATATATTTTTCAGTTGCAGTTGCCAATTTTTTTATAGCTATTCTAGATAGAGAAAAGAAAGTTTTACGTAAACATTTAAACATTCTAATAGTCTAAATAAAATCATATTAAATATGATTATCTTAATATATATATTTCTTCTGTGCGTGTGTATGTGACTGAACTCCTCTCAAACGACTGGACCGATTTTGATGAAATTTTTTGTGTGTGTTCAAGGGGATCTGGGAATGGTTTAGATTCACAAATCAGCCCGGCAGATGGCACTGCAGTCGGTACTTTCATACTTTGCTTAATATCCTAATCGCTTTAAATATCATGCAGGACAACGTCTGTGGGGTCCACTAGTATAATATATAATAATTACAACAAACTTAGAAATAAAATTATACTTTTTGTAATAATTATAGAACTTTTCCTCGTGTACAAAATACGCTTTACTTTCTGACATAAGCCAAAACAAATAATAGCGCTGACTTTAATGATGAGAGCCATAAATATTTCAAAGCTATCCGTTTCGTATCGAATGTGTTGTATGGTAAGATTACCGGTAAATACCTTAATACAAGTGAATTGGCCATTGAGTACTTCAATAAACTTTCGCTCTTTTATCAACTCGACAAATAACCTGTGTGACATTGAGAACGTGTTGCTTGTTTACATTTAAGGAAGATAGCTATGACAATAATTAGGTGAATTTTATTTGTCATTAGAAAAAGCCAAATTTATTTGATTTTAAAGAGTATTTTAATTGACTGAGATACATTCTTTGTAGCTTTTGCAATAAGGAATACAGGTCGGATAAGGAAGCCTTTTGTGGCAATATTGCTAATTTTGTGTTACAATTTACCAGATCTTATTTTAAGGACGTCTTCAAAGAACAACACATAACGTATTTATAAAACACCTGATTCCTTGTACTATATCTACATTTTAATAAATCCTATCTGTAAATTTTAAGAGGGCTAAAGTCCAAATGATCTGTAGGCAGTAAGTGCCGCTGTGACAATCAAACGAACCGAATATTATCTTAATCCGTTGTCATTTGTTGAAACGTCATGCTTTGACAATGTAAGTGTTACGTTTATTTTTGAATCGTATCGAGCGCGTTCTATTTATTTATTGGTCAATACACGAAGTAATCGAATTAAAACATCACAAGGAGTTTATAAATAATAAAAGTAAGGTAACCCGAATCTAATAAGTTTTAAAATTACTAAGGACGCTAAAATAATTTAATAATCATGAAAATTTATAAAAAATAAGCAATTATTTTAATTAATAAATTATCAAACGAATAATTTATTTTAATTTTTAACTTAATAAGACTTAAGTTACTTTAAATCGAAAAAAATGAACGTTGTAACAGTATTCAGTGTTTTCTAAGAATTATAGTTATGCCATAATCGAGCTGTTTGTAAACTCTTTACGTACCTGACTCTTACCTTACATGGGTATAGGTAAATCTTATAAAATCGCGCCTGAATGTAAACTATGTGTAATGACACTTACGACTACATGTAATCTGTATACATGTAAACACTAAAGTAAATGCCAAAGTTCTACATCCGCCTCTCTATATCACCTTGATTGTTTAGTTAGTAATTCCTAGCCTACAGACTCGAATCTTCTGTTTCTTGCCTTGTTCAGACGATTTGAATGAACATCAGAATTCAATCAAATTGTAACTTTGTACTTTCAGTTTTCTTCCTAACTTATTGGCAGAAGTAGAAGTTTTATCTTTCTATTCTTGAGTTAAATGTTATTTGCGTATCGAATAGGTATATATATCAGGAATTAATTTTAATTGCTGTACTATAAGGGAGATAGAAGGCAAATAAACATTTACGAGGATTCAATTTTTAAAACAGCTAAAGTTCTTACATGCAGCAACCATTAGCCGTGAAAATTATAATACGCAGATTTGACTTGTTTTATCTTGTAGTTCTGTGCCTCACTTTAGTATTACAAGTATTCAACATTACAAACATTTTTTTAGAGATTGCATTTATCGTAGCTATGTTGAGTTTAATCAAAATGATTTATAATGAACGTTTTAATCCTAAATCAAACTTTAGGAATGATAAAGCGGTTGCGCAAAATTTTTCATACTCATACAAGATTCAGACTACTCAATTATATTGTATTATGTTATGTAACAATTATATTAAATGTACCGTTCTATGGAAGCATAGATAAACATTTTTTAGCTTTTACTGAATATCTATAATAATAGATGACTCTGAGTTCACCTATTTGAGACAATTGCTTTCTTATTTTAAAATATACCAATTAGTAAGGAAAGATTTCACTCATTATAGGTGGCCATGAATTAATTAACGATTAAAATTTCCTCAAATTATTCTCGTAAAGCCATTAAAATAGAACAATGCATACAATACTTTATAATAACCTCAGCGAATGTTGCAATGGTAAATTATATTATATGAATATACCACGGTAATTTTTCCTTACAGTATGTATTTAGAAACTTAAAGGCTTGAAAGCGTTTGGAATTTTTATCCAAACTGAGACTAGCATAATACATAAATCTAACGACTAACCCATTTATTGAAAACAGCTAAATCTGCCTTAAAAACTGTTTTAACTAGAGCACTTATTCGTCTGTTTCTGATTTACTGTTATTAGACTGATTTAATTTTATATGCACAATTATTCCCTTATCTCTTTTCATCATAGCGTTAACACGTAGAGGGTAATGATATTTTAGCTTAAATGTTAGATATTATTAGTTGTTTATATTTAAGGGTGGGTTAAAGGGAAATGCGTTTTAAGCATTATAAGTTTTTTAGTTAAATAAAGGAAAACAAATGTAGTAACTAAATATTACGTCAGAAACTCAATATCGCCCGATTTATTTTTAAATATCTTTTCTATGTAAAACTTAAGTAAATTTTTGGATTTCGGACGCGGCTTTTTTGTACTTAGAGGTTCGTAAGTTTTTAACAAAAGAGCCGAACTGCTTACCTGAGGAGATCCCTCTTAGAAGTCAATAATACCCAGCAGGATAGTTTTTCAAAAACATTCCACTCTACATCGTTTAGTTTTAATTGATGTATTAGTTAACGATGGGTTTTTTTATTTAAACATTTATTTTATTACAGTTATGTTAGATTAACGAAACTTTTAAAATAGGATTATTGGCATATGTTTTTTGTGTCCTCAAATTATTTTTTGTTTACTGTAAAGACAAAAAAATCAAAGCATCTTGTAGAAACTGGTGACCATCGCTGTAAGTATAAGAATTAAGAAATAGCCTATGTCAACCCTGTACATAATAAATTATACTTCTAAATGCTCCTTTCCAATCTAGTCAGTAAGCATTTTAGACAGGGTTATTACATGCCTAATATAACATGTGCACAAGGAACCGTTTATTTCGTTCATTCACTCATTCGTACGGAAAATTTTCGTTTTATTTACATTAATGTATTCACTTTTTATGAGTTATATGCGCATGTGACAACACTTTCACAAAATTAATATTTCTTAGTGAGGTGATAAATTAGAAAACTGTATTAATAGCTCAAAACGAGTGCTGGGATTCATAATATCATAAGTAGCTCCTGTTTACACGTAGGTACGACTAATAAATGAGAATTCCCTTGAACCCAATGACACATTTGCTATCAAGCAGTTTTCTGTCAATGTGTGGTAAGAATGAAGGAGGTCAGGGGATCATATTATTATTCTGATAACGGTCTAGTAAAGTATGAAAATCTCGAGAATATTGTATACGTATAGTGTGCTTGCCGCGTGTAAGGAATGCGACACGTTTCATTAAAATGTCGACATTTGCTGAATGCTGACTAGGCCTCCAAATACATACGTTTGCAATTAGCCACTGCGCATTATATAAAATATTTCATAAAATATTATCAGATAGAGACGAGACTGAAGCATAATATTATGATTGCTTGTTATGAGCTAGGATTGTGAAATGTTTACACTACAATAGTGTGAAGCAAGATGTACTATGTTCAATCCGCGCATAAAGATAGGTTATAAAACTTACCACACAGCGCTGTTCCATATTCCTTCCAATGTGAGCGAGTTTTTGCGGTCATTGTAATATTGAAATTTAAAATACAATACTAAAAAATTAACTGGGTTTGGAATGAGATTATCTTGAGCACTGATTTTTTATAATAAAATTTCTATATAATATAATTCGAACTCATGGTTAAATATAAATTATAACAGGATATACTAACTAAATATCACAATAATATATTATATTCGATCTAAAATTTAATGGATTTTTAAAAGTAAACGTTATAACCGATTGGGCTTCATTTTGAAAGGTTTATGTGTTGGTTTGCAGGTCCATAGTTTTGCGAGAAAACGCGTAGAGTATGTTAACGCGGCGAAAGCGAGTGAACAACTGAACGAAACACAGACACTTGAACACGAATGAACTGAACGGATCGCATAGAACGGAATGGAATGAGGTAAATCGTCGCAAGCGCACGCTTTTGGTCCTTGTTTATCGGTCGGCTTGGTTTGCCGGCAAATCAAGCGGGCTCCAGGCTGATAAGAAAAACGTTGATATCATGAATGTATGCGATGTTGAGCCACGCGTGTGAGTGACTACCACTTATTCAGGCGCACTGCGAAAGTCACCCTGCTTACGAATGTTTGCTGAGACAAATGTATTTTTAGTTAAATACAGTCCAAAAATAAGTCTAACAATACTTACCGACATGGGCTAAATACGACAATACATTACGATTTAATTAAAAGAAAATGAGGCGCATTTAATAGGCTGTGTAGGTAATCGATTTTAAGTATTTAGCCGCCAATTGCTACGTTGGACTAGACTTATACAAATATGTATTTTTATGTATATGGGCAATGAGACATTAAAACTGAAGCCTTGAAAATGTACGTTTACATTCAATCGTATAGTTAGAAAGTTAGTATGGTATTTTTGCATTCTCTAAAAGCACATAATATTTTCCAATTTAATTAGATTTTCACTCCGCCAGCGAATTAAGTAAATTGTATATTCCACACTTGTAATTATTTTTATTGAGTAGCTACAGTTACTAATGTACATACATATAAATTTAAAAAATGTTTAAACATAATATTATCATGTATTAGGAAGAGATCAGGTGTCAATGCGTGATCAGATTCTGTTAGTATTCTTGTCGATTAAAATATCTAAATATGTATTATTGATTATCTCTTGATAATACCTATTATAAAAACTGTGTCACCCGTTATAAAAATTAATTATAATATCTGTAATTAACAATTGCTATTGTCAGTTTGTACCTATTAACTTGTTTTAGTGGGAAAATGGTACATGTGTTTTGCGTATTTTTGTACCAGTAAAATTTATTTCTACCAACATGGCATATGATTCTGCGAAGGATCTCTTTGAATGTACTATGGATATAGTCTGTGATATTACTTTTTTTAGTTTCCAATCAAGAGTAATAATAGCAGTTTCACAGTTATTAATAACATACATTATTTTTTATTTATACATACACGATTGACCATGGACTTGCTATTGTCCTGTCTCGCTTCATCGACTTTTATGACATTCACCATGCATGCTCTTCGGTTATTTTGACTCTGTCTGTCTCCTCTAGTACGTCCTGGATTTGGTCCAGGTTTTTTTTAGAACAGGGGGCAAACGGCAGGAGGCTCATCTGATGTTAAGTGATACCGCCGCTCATGGACACTCTCAATGCCAGAGGGCTCGCGTGTGCGCTCTTTTCTTGAAGGACCCTATGTCGAATTGGTTCGGAAATACTTCAGTGGGCAGGTGGTTCCACAAAGTGGTGGTGCGCGGCAGAAACTGCCTTGAAAAACGCTCAGTTGTGGAACGGTGGACGTCGAGGTGATACGGGTGGAATTTCGTATTCTGCCTCGACGTCAGATGATGAAACTCAGCTGCAGGTATTAATCCTAACAACTCCTCTGAACATCACCAGGTAAGTACGATAAGGCCTACCTTTTTTTTTTTCGTGGGGAAATGCGTTTCGCATACCCTCCCGCGGCATGGTTGGCCTGGTGAGGAAGGGTTATTTGGGATTCGCTGTTGTGCATACCCACTAAAACCTCACGGCGCCACCAGCAATCGCCCGGGGCAGGACATGGTAACAGCGTAGCCTTGTCCGCATCCAGCCACGCGATCGGCCGTTAATATTACGGTCCTCTACGGCCACGAATGGTGTGGAATGGACCTTGGCACAGCAAGGGCCTTTCACATCGGCCAATTCATCCTGTTTTATAGAGCTGGGGGAGGCCGGGTACAATGCTTGCAGGGATGTGTCTTGATAAGGCCTACCGACCCAACCTCACAATTCACGGTTGCCTTGTCCTAATAAATACTATCCTACTTGTAAGCCGCTTTTTTTCAAATAAGCGCTGTAATTAATGTAATCCTTAATTGATGTCACACAGTTAATAGTTGTATGTAGCAAATGAATATATAATTACAATATCGTTTTGTTGCAGTAAAAATAGGACAATAACTAATTAGAACTTTAATCTTAATGCATGAATAATCTTTTTGTATGCATTATTCAGACTCTTAATGAAACAGATATATTTTAATATAAGCTGTAAATAAAAATATATATGGCCTACGATTACTGGCTGGACAGATAAAATTTCGTAAAAAATGTGAGTCTCATATTATATCTGATTTTTTAATACTAAATCAATAATGGAAAATAGAAAATTAATCTCAGAAAAAATTTCTAATTTATGTACATTTACTTTCCTCGATAGTGATAATTATACGATGAATAAACAAAGCTTATCTTTCAGACAATATGACGTCTTTTACATCGCACTTGAATAGATAAAATTAATTAGGTTTTATCTGGTTTTACTGTGATGAAAATTATATACATATATATTCAATATATACGTATATATAGTTGCAACCGTACGAGACGAGTCCACTCTCCACGCTTAAAAGACGATACAGCCTCTCTTATGGCCATCTAATCAACAGTACCCAAGGTCACCATTCGTGACAATCGACACTTTATTACCCACAAAAGCTAAACGAATATGTATGGTGTGACGTTATTTCACCTGTCGTCACGTGACCATTTTCATATAAATTCGTTTGCCCAAGTATGAAAAACAATCGTGCACGTCAGGTGCGTATTCAAGTAGTACCAATAATTATTTGTAGTTTTTAAAATTAACTTCATTTTAACTGAATATTTAATAAAGAATAACAGTGCATAAGATGTTAATTTATAAAGTCACAACGATTAAAATATATTCTTTAAGCACGAGGCTACTCTTTAAAGTTTAAACCCGATAGTGATGTGACGGTTGAGTCGAAATTGATCCGATTCCGTTATGACTCCTATAAAAACTAAATCTAAAAACTTAATACCGTTAAATAACTATCATATTTTTGAACTGTTATTTAATATCCGGTGATTTCACGTAGTTTTAATTTTGAACGTAACGTAATACTGAACCCGGGGAAAACGTAATTTTTTTTCCACAGTCATTTAACGTCACAGCATTTTGCGCACATTGCTTATTTTTTATCGTCACATAATTATTTGAACAGTATAGAAATAACATAATTTTGTTGTGCAATATTTTTATTGATTTTACGGCTCCCTTGTATTACAAGCGTATTAGACTTTTAACTTTGTCAATTATCTAAGCTGTACCTATATGATAACAGTTAGGATAGAATTTGTAATATGTTGTTGAAAACATAGTTGAGGCATGGGCAGGTAGCGATGTAATAAAATGTTATATTTGAATAGTCGTCGATTTCTATATATGTATTTGCATTACATTGTTGAATTGTGTAATTTTTATCGTATACATTTGTTATTGTCTCGCTAAATTGTACTGGATTAGTATGTTTTTGTAAATTTCCTAGGATTGATAACATTTTATTAGGGTAACAAAATATTGAATGGTCGTTGTAAAAAAACAATACGTAGACATACGACAGAAAAATAATTATTCAATAACTTAGAAAAAAAAAATTGTGCGTCTGTACTCGATGTACACAGTAAGAAAAGTGAAACTTCTTTATGATCTTATTTTTCGAAAAATGATCTACGATATGCAACTTTACAGAAATTCGTTAAATTAGATAAAGTTTAACAAAAGGCTTTTATTATCATAGACATGAATACAAATATTTCATTTTACCTTATTACTACGAAGATTATTATAGAATTTCATTAATTGTAATAGAATTATTACTATCATTGAAAAACGTGACGATTTGCCTACAAAATTTCTCCCATACGTCGATAAAAAGGTTTCATTCCAACGCCGATAAAGAAGTTTGACTTCAGCAAATGGACGCGTAACCCAAAAATGTGACGCGTAACGAAAAATGTTAGACTAAATTTTTTCCCACGACCCCTAAAGAAAGTTTCAATTAAAAAAAATTGTGCGTCTGTACTCGATTTGAGAGTGCAGTGTTGTTATAATTAATGATGGTGTTAAGTCGTAGTTGACTTCTTGACATTACGTGACGTGGATGGGTACGAGGGCGTCCACAGAGTGTCCATCGCGTTCGGTCTTAATTTATTTTACCTCTTAGTCTTTCCGTCTCTCTTCGCCTCATCTGTAAAAGACGTAGTTGATATGATATAAAAATTAACATTTAAAATTTAAATAATTGGTACTATCGTATCCTAGAATAATATTTCTTATTTTATTACCCATTTAATTTAAATTTTCCTTCTAGCTTGACTGGTATTAATGCTTGATAATTTACAGATCGACTTATGAAGCAAAAGAAGAAAACTGGAATTGAAATTCGGTTATTTGCATAAAAAAGTAGATATGTATGTACTTTCAACTGTTTTTTCCAACATATAAAGAGAAAGTTTGATTCTAACTCTCTTTAATAGCCAGGATTGGTTGTACGTTTTAGAAGGCTTTGATTTTTTAAAAATAATTTGCAGTGTTACTACATGATCGTTGGTGCGTTTTAATTTGGAATACTTTTACAGATCGCCATAGATTTAATTTTAGTCATCATACATGTTTATGGTCTCTGATGCCATAAATATGAAATAATTATTACTGTACATTACATAACAATACATTTGTGAATTTATCTATTCGATGTCGGTAAAGAGAAAGATTAACTCAAGCATAAACGTTACCTTATCGTATCAGTTTTATTGCGTTTATTATTAAACAAACACTATTGCAGGGAAAATTTTGGTAATTTAAGTTTACTTAAATTATTTGTTTAATGCACCTGGTACTTAAACACACAAGTTTTATTGATTAGCCTTGATACGGTAGACGTTTTAAAAAGGCTATTAAGCTGAATTCTTGTTCGTTCATTACATTGTTGGAATAGTTAGTTGCTTTTCAAAACATTTCACCAGTATTTGTCTTTTTGAATGTATTTAAAAAAAAAATAGTATCAAGTACAACATCTCAGTTACCGATGACAGGGTCTAACTACGTATATATTGACTTATTTGATCTCCATTTCGTAACTTTATGTCAACCTAATGTCCACATTTAAGCAAGATAACGCCAAAATAACTCCAAAACGGACATTGTTAAGATGTTAGGACATTTTATTTTCGCCATTCTTTATAGCGTAATATTGTTAAGCCTACATCGATAATATGAATTGCGATTACAGCCGTGTATTGACAAGTCTATAATTAATTAATAAGATAAAACTTTGCATCTTTTTACATCATTTCAAAACAAGAATGTGAATAAGTTATCATCCGATCAACGCGTGAAGCACACACTCATTCGTACTATACATGTGTGCCAAATAACTCACTACACCCACAATCGTGTAAATAAAATGTGTACAGCTTACAACTACACTGACAAAATGGGACGTATTCACAGCTTTAATCGCATTTTTTGTGAAGAAACTGTCACATTATATCACGACTTCGCGCTTATACAATCACATGAACGACTGAGCTATAGAATTTGTCGATTGCGGTGTAAATTATTTATTTAAATCTAAGAAATGTACGTTTATTTATAGATATTTTTTTTGAAGAGAAGAAAGATGCAATTATTTTAAAATTGCAATTGGGGTTTTGAATTGCAGATTATAACATGTATAATACCTATAAGTGAGCGTTTTAAACGACGTTTAATATAAAATAATATACACCATGCACCTAATTGCACCGTTTAACTAATGTACCTTCTGACTTATCTCGTTTAATCACGGCGTAAACATAATTGATTAAAAGAGTGTAGACTGTAGTTCTTATAAACAAGTGTAGGAAATGTTAAACTTAATAGTTGTCTAAACTTGCTTAATTATTCGGTTCATTATATGTTTGAGTGCATATCTGTATTCGGAATAGCATGACGCAGACGTTAAGTACAAAGTCCAACCGTTTCAAACAGAGCTTCAGTGAAAAATGAGTACATGTGGATTGGGAACGAATACAACGCCCATTGTAACATTTTTGTCTTAAAAGTCGATGAGTTGCAATAATTTAAAACATATTTTCAAAACTGAACATCCTTTATTTCATACTAGTTACAGTAAACTCGGAAGATGATGCAAAGGTATCGAGCTAAATCATAATTAGAGGTATTCATGATAACATTAACAATTCTTTCGATAAACGACATAATACGGAATATCTTCATAATTTCAGAGTAGAAACTAGCGCCTGTTAAAAATAGCTAATAGATAGTATTATTACATAGGATAGTAATACCATACTGAACGGGACTAGGACCAGTCCAGAAATATCCATATACTGTTTAGCTATTTAATTGTGTTTTGTTTCATCAGGTCTATACAGATTATCATGATGTTCTATTCTACAAAGAGTCGTTGTATTGTTAATATCACTCTATTAGAGGATACCTCGCAGATCTATAGAATATTTTTGCTCCTAAATTGTGAAATAAGTACACAAATAGGTACAAGTAACTAAGTACTGTTAATTTTAGGCTTTACATAATTTTTAAATTTAGAATAAAATATATTTGTTATATAAACATGACTATATTCGTTTAATAAGGAGCGATAAGTATGTTTTGGAGTAAGTAACGCTTAACAGAATACCTGGACTCGATATCCGGCGAAAAGATAATAATTGTTTCCGGTATGAAAGGCCAACTATCTTCATCCGGTAAAAATGATGAAGAACCAGAGAAATGTTTCTACATAAGTTGGGAACATCAAACATGTTAATTGATTCATCGAGCATGATAAATAACAAGAAAATATATTTTTCTTGGAAATTTATGGCGTTATATAAGCCAAGAAGGAATCCATTATATTATTTTCTACTACTTTGAAACATTTCCATCGACTTTTCGTTGCTTAGTGGATGTTGCTGGTGGTGTTAATACTAGATTAAACGTTGGTATTTAGATTACTGAACCTTGGGGGAAATCCTCCATACTTATTCGTTTCACTTCCAAAATTGATATTACACGCCTTTATACACTGTGGGCATAGAAACGCGTCTCCCATATGTTTTTAACATAACAATTGCTTTGTTAGACGGAAGAAAAATTCATAATTTGAGTTCCATGGGCGTCCGGTAAAGTATATTTAATATGACAAATTAAACAAAAGAATTAACAATCACAATATATAATTTCTCTTAGTTCTACGATCCACTATTCAGATCAGTTTGCACAGATGTAAATGGCACACAATATTTAAGGCACTAGGAATGTAAATAGGATCACAATACAATATAATTACAGACATAACCAGTTATAGCATAATGAGACCAACAGATAATGTTTAGCTTAAAAGTCTGGGTTAGATTCCTCTTACGTTTAAAAGATTGTTTTATTAAACAGCGTTTGAAAGATATACAAAGTTATAAGGCTATCATTTAATCTGTGGTCGTTATATCCGGCTATTTCTTAATTGAGCTATTAAAGGCCACGCTTAAGAATGTAACCCTTTCCTTCTATAAAATACCTTTGGTGCCTGTTTAATAACATAATTACATTTTTATATATCATAAAATAGTTTAGTAACAAAATAATATTTTGTTTGCCTACAATTTTTTTGATATACTATATATTTAATAATATTTGGGTTCTTTGTTACATAACTAGATAAACTACAATTATTAATTCGGAATAATAAAATCGATTGAAAGGCACTTAATAATCAAAATATTTTAACTTTATTTGGCACCTTTCAACGGAAGACCTTTTAAATATATATTTTGGTATTAAAGCTTTTCTTACAAGAATTAAAAACTATAAAGATTATGCCTAAATATTTACTCTTACACCTCATACATTTTATTAAAATACTTGTCTTAAAGTTAAAATAACAATAACTATAAGAAATTATGATTCCACATTTTTACTAATATCTTGGACCCTTTCAGTTTATTAATAATAATAATATTGTGGGGTGTTTAATAATTACAGTATTAGGAATATACAATTTAAGTGTTATCACAAAATTAAATCTTACACCCAAAACATTACTCCAAGTAATCCAAAGAAATACTTAAAAAGTGACCAGTTTCGGTATAAATATTCAAATACTGATTACTGAGATGTTTTGAAACAAATTTCAGGAATTATTATTTACCTATCACTATCTAGTTCGAGGACAAGATTATTATCCAGTAGGTTATCAAATATTCTATTTGAGATAAATTTTAAATAAGGTAGTCAAGGTCTATACGGTATAATACAAGGTAGGATAAAAATGTGTGTGTAAAATATCTGCGGAATGCTTTATTTAAAAAAGGACGGAAATATTAAGTACAGGTATAGCACCTTCGAATTGTGAGTTTCATAAATTTATCCGTACCCTTGCAACACCGCCGTCCCTCTTTTCATACACAACTTTATCGCTACAGTATAACCTCTCTTGAATGGCAGCGAACGATTGCCCTTTAGTTTCAGGAAGTAGCATTAATATAAATATAACGCCACCGACCGACAGCAAGGCGAAACTCCAGAATGCGACATATGTACCTAAGTTATCCGCGATCACTTGATATAACTTAGTAACTGCAAATGTCATCAAGGCAACACATATTTGAATTATACATGTGGCCTTTGACTTTATGTGAGTCGGAAATATTTCTGATGTTATAGCAAACGGAACTGTCGCCAGGCCTATAGTGTAGGAAAATATGAATATTGGTATCACAACAACAGGAATGAATTTTAAGTTAACAATGTACTCACTGTTTGCATATTTCATAAAAAAGTACGCTCCTATAATAACATTAGCTAGGCCAACGCCGCAAGATGAAACTAAAAGTAAAGGTTTTCTTCCTAATCTATCAACTAATTGCGATGAAATTGCGGAAGTTAGTAATTGGACCGAACCAACCACGATACACGATTCTCGAGCGCCTAAACCGCCCTCCGCAGCTCCAAATATTTGTTCCGCGTACGATATTATCGCGGTACTGCCACAAAATTGCTGGGTAAAATATATCCCTAGCAAAATTATCAGTCCTCTTTTATTACCACCTACGGTGACAAGATCCTTCCAACGACTCTTTTCCTTCATATTCTCATTGACAAGGTGAGTCATACTATCTAATTCTTCCATCATGTAATCACGGCCTCGAAGCTTTTTTAGAGATCTCTCAGCTAAATGTGATTGCCCGGATTTGAGGTAATAGTATGGCGACTCCGGCATAGCACTAAAGGTTACGACGAACAGTATAGGTATGGCAATGTTGAAACTCGCCAGTCCTAACATAGATACGTAGGGCCCAATGCAGTATTGTGACAGGATCCCAAACTGAAATGGAGAAAAAACTCAATCAATTACAAAAACAATAAAGGTATGTAAGAAATATATTATATAATTATTCATATATTATGCACTCTCGTAATAATATAATAAAAAATACGTTTTTTAAGAACTTTTCATTTGTTTAAATAAGGTTAGGTTAGGTTATAAGATCATTAAAGATGTTGTTTTTGTTGTAGCGTGTAAAACACATTAATAGTTCCATACCTTAGACATTACTGTGATGAGGGTAGCCATAGCCCCTCGTACCTCATTCGATGCAATTTCACCGAGGTACATAGGAGCTGTTGTGTATGCGATGCCGTAACCTAAACCCGATATGAGCCGAGCTGCGTATATTGTAGGGACGTTGGTCGCGAGCATCACCAGGATCCAGCCCAGGATGTAAGGAATTGCGGCGAGGAGCAACGTCTTTTTTGTGCCGATTCTGTCTGCCAGGTACGATGCCGGGATGGGGCTTAATGCTGAAACAGTATGGGGTTTCAATAAGATAAGTTACAATTTTAAATATGAATTTTCATTACTTTATGATTCCGATAATTAGCTATTCTGGAAACTTCTATATTTGAATCGAAGTAAAGAAACAGCGTATGTAAGAGGAAATAATTATAGAATAGCTAATAATTATGCTGATTATATAATGAAACCAGAAGAAAAAAACTACGTCAACATCTCGTAAATCTATAAAAATTTGGCATATAATATTTACATAGGCCAAGTAAAACTGTAACAATAGGTAATATAATCACCTGAACTTAATATCATTAGAGAGGCAATCCATGAACTCTGATCCGGCGTTGTTGGAATAGGAGAGTCTTTGTCCTGTAGTTTCGGGAGCGTAGGAGATGTCCATCCCACTGTAGTTCCCGCCGCCGCCGTGATCAAGGTCGCTGGAAATTTTAAAATAGCCATCAAGATATTGCTTGATAAAACATTTTAACGTTTAAATTGTGTGTCTTGAGACTATGAATCGTGAATAGCCAAAGTGTCAAGGCACGCATAACACCTGTTTTACAAAAACTTACTAAACGTGAAGTTATAAGGTATGCTAATCATATGTAGTTAGATTGATAATAACTTTTTTGCGTAGAACACTATATCTCGCATGTTTCATACATCAATTCAGAAAATGCACTCAAAACTATACCTTTTATAAAAAAAAGTATAACAAAGGAATGTGTAGAAACACTTACTGTAGGTTACTCTTCGTTTTAGGAGTACATCGTGAAAATATTGGGATTTTTATTTTATTTAGTGTATATCTAAATTTGTAGACAATCATATAATCTATGAAAACTTTGTTAATTGTTAGTCCGATGTTCTAAAACCAAAGTAAATCAAACCGATAATCTAGTTATTCTTAATAAAGCTCAACTATGTTGATAATAACCCAGTGCCGTTAACCCTGCATGGGTGACCTCTGACTTAATGTGAAGTGTAAGCTAGTGCGCCTAGTACTCTTTGGAAAAAATCTAATCATCGGTTTCGAAATTAGAGAAATTGATGTGCCACAGAAATAAAAAATAGCTTTCTTCGTTTTTTAAACTAGAAGTTGAATTTTAAGTAACTCAAAATACTAATCTGGCAGATGTATCTAACGTAGTACTAAATCCAACTCGTATGTCCTTAACGAATGATAAAAAAATTGAATTACAAATAATGAAAAATGATAAGAACATGATAAGTCTTTCATTTAACAGGTAGCGACGATGATTCACCAGATCTTGACCTACATTCATATTTTACATTTCATCAGTTTTATCAGTAGTTTGCGTAATTTTTTAATCAAATTGGTAAATCAATGTGAATTAATAATTATACCAAAAATTAATTTGTACCTATTATTAGTATATTAAATTAATATTAAGAAAAACCTAAAGGGGGAGTTTTAATAATATATTTTAGTTATTATATTTCAAGGTTAGTTATTGTTTTTATTATATTAATTTATGTTAGTTAGGATTTTAAGATTTACATAACAGCATTTAGGAACAGGAGAATCTTATACAATTATTTTTATTGTTATTAAATTTTCATATGGAACCTGGCTTTGGTGGTTGTTCATCTTATTCGTTTACATTTGTTTTCAAAGTCGTTTATTTATGTTTAATCATAAGGTCTTTTGGCCTTTGATTGCTTAATAATATGTCTAAAGAATGACATAATCGCTAAATTTAATGCCCGATTAACTAACAATCATTTGTAAGAGAGACGTTTCTAAGGTTCAGATCAGATATATGTTGAGCGGGCTTAAGTATTATTAATGAACTCAGTTAACTCTGAATAATTGCTCTAAAACTGATAACAGAAATAAATGATGCATTAAAAAAAATGTTATTTACAAAGTTTTTTAGAACTGGGCTGATCACACTGCCTGCGTTTGTTATGGCAGATGGACCAAAAACCCTTGGCCCTTACTTTGAATGACCCAGTGGGCAGAAAACGGAGATGACGCCAGTGAAACCTGAGAAGATGAAATAAAAGAGATAGCGGGGAAAGATAGAAAAATAGTAGCCAAGATGAGAGACAAGTGGAAGTATTTGGAGGCCTTGAGTCCTTCGCAGGACGTGTACTAGTGTGAAATAGAATAATAACATAAACTTAATGTAACTTAAATTACTACTCGAATAAAGGATATTTTAGAAGTTATACTTATTTTGGCGCGTTATGAAAAATAATGAAGTTGTCCACGGAAGATGCTATGGCATTGGACATAATTTAAAAAAAACATTCGAATAATAATAGAATTTATGTTACACTTAATGTAAGAGAATAATAATAAATATTTATTTATTTAATTTTTCAAATGTAAACTGAACTTTATTGACTATAATAACTCCTTTTCCAGTCTTTGATTATTTAATTGTAATTAATTATTTGCATGCAATAAAAACTATTTTAAATAATGCCAAAGAAGTATAACTTACGCGCGTACATAAGTACACGCACCCTTTTTTTTATAAGTTTCACTAACAATTCATGAATATATGCCTTTGCGACAAAAGCCTCAATTAAAGGTGTAATTGTAAGAATAAAAATAATATCAACATCCGTCGACCTAAACACTTTATTGTCAGCATTTTGATCATTTGATACGCCTTAGAAACAACAATGAACGTGATGATTTGCACTTATGTATCGCGTACATGACTTTTCAGAATTGTACCTACGCCATATAAAAATACACCTTCTTATTTCGTGAGATATTCAATATATATAGCTGGGGTACGTGCCCATTTGCTTCACGATGTAGGTAATTCATACTAAATGAATGTAATAAGATTATTCTTAAATAATTATTATACTCCCAAGATCGAGGTATATGATGCTGATTTAGGCTTAGATCTTAGCTTAAATTAACGGTCGAACGTTTCTGCTAAACAATTAGGTATAGTATTAATATTGCTTCAAAAAAATGAGAAAAAGGGTGAACTTAAAGGGTTATATGTACCTTTTGTTGCCAAATCTTTAAAAAAATTGTCCAAATAAAAAATGGGTTTAACAACCTTTTCTTAAATCTAACAAATATAACAATTTGATTTGATACGAAAATTTTATATAAAGATAAATAAAAGTATGGCCTATTTTCTGTTGTTTGTGGTTAAGTTGGTTTTGAACACCGAAATTAGTCTCAAAGCGGGATACCGCAGTAGTTTTCTACTTATAAGTAATTTCGAGATCATTATAGGAAAGGTTTACCTATTATAAATTAACTTATCTGCAAATATACTCTGTAAACCTAACTTGTGTTGATAAAAGTTTATTGATCACGTAACAAAACTACGTGTAAAATGACGTTATAATTACCAATTAACCGCTTATAGTTCTAGATTGTGCTTAACACTCGTGTAAATCATTTGAGACAATTATTTAATAAGTAAGCTATTTGTCCTCAATCTCTTTAATTATTTTAACGTCTTTTTAAACCACATTGAGTATAATAAAAAAACATGGCGCAATTCAATTTAAAATTCGAATTGAAATGTCTTCTAAACACAGGTATATGAACGTTGGTGCTAAAATACGGGTATTTGCCAAGAACTCATCCCGTACATAATATAGCTCGTCCCGTGTGTTTTTGAATAAACAGTAATATTTAAATAAATATGGAATATACATTAAGTATCATAAAATCCAAGTTTTATGTTATGGGTTGCAAACGGGTTAAACAGGATTCGTAAATATAATAAGAGAAATCAATATCTAACGTCGGTACCAATACCGTGGAATAAGACGCAAAGGAACAGGTTGCGTTTTTTGTCGTTACTCAAAAAACATCTCACACATTACTTGATTGATACGTTCACATAATAATAATTCAGTAACGATACAACCCTTTATTGGTCTTAACCTCAGATTGAAACCGTTCCTTTGATCGTCTTTGATTTGTAGGTGCACCTAAGATATGTCAGAGCAACTGTTCACTGACACAAAAAGGAAAGATTTATACTTTGGTAAGGTACAAATAAAACAACGGTTTGCACGATTTAAAATGTTCGCCGTAGAAATGCCATATTATTCCTGAGCAATATAGGCTATTTATTTCCAAAAAAAACAATGTCCAGGTTTGCGTTTAAATTATTCGAAGTCGTTTTAACCAGCCTGGAAGTAATCAAAATGTAAAACAAAATACATATAAAACTTTGGCGCGTTTTGTTTGATTAATCTTTCAGTCATTTGACTTTTTAAAGTCAATCTATCAATCGTCTTTCACATGACATTCTCACCGCCCAGGACGCATTTGGACATGCATTTTTTTTTATAGGATAGGGGCCAACGAGCCTATAGGATGCCCACAAAGTGCCAGACACGTGCGCTAGTTCGTCAAAAGTGACGCGGACCGTGGAAGACTTCCAGACATCACGATGCGGTCAAGTTTTAAAAAAACTTATTCGTACACACTAATTAGTTAAAGTAATGTAATGAGATGATTTAATTATTAGGAACAGGACACTGTCTGTGTTCAGAATAGCGCCTAGAAAATGTAGCAGCAAGATATGAGATATAGTATTATTGAATTTACTTTAGACATAATCACAATCTGTAAATTATTCTTGAAATAAATGATTCTTTTATGGCGATTCGAAACTGGTTTATATATTTTTGTTATGTCTAGCAAAGTGATTACAATATATCTATTTTAAGATAACACACATAACTATCGGTTTAATAACTACCTACTTTTTTTTGTTACATCGTAATTATTATTTTTTTAATTGAGAAAAAGCTTGCCAACGCTTGGCACACTGAGACATTGGTAAAAACAAACACAAAATACATTTTTAATGTGACAAGCCCTTATAGGCAAACATGAGATCATATAGAGATTATTAAACAAAACAAACATTACAAAAAAAACAAAACAATTACTTATCAAAGAAAAAATTCTAATTACAAAAAACTAAACAACAATCCATTTTATACTGTGAGGGAGAAACTATGTATATATGTATATCCAGACCTAGCTCGTTTATAAGAATTGTTAATTTTGTTTTTAAGCAAACGTATATAAGATAAGGTTGAACCAAAAATTTTTTAAATCACAGGTACCATGTTTCATTGACCTATCAGTCAGATAAGTTGTAAGAATAATTTCGTAGGAAACTTAAGTAGACCATTTTTGGACAACCAAACATTTTCTGGAAGAGGAGAGTTGAAAGAACCAGTATTATATTTTAATTATGCTACCCTCATTTTCTCTAGCAAATTATGTCTAATAACAACGAAAGAAACGTGAATATGATACTAAAAATATGTCGCTATACCGTGATAATATCTCTCTAAATATTTCCATATTACTATCGGATCTTTATAATAGCATATAGAGTTTAATTTTTTTTAACTAACAAACTCGAACGATTAAAATACTCATCACGTAGTAAGTCTCATAAGTAGGTAGCCGAGATCCACCGGAGCCTAGAATAGGGCCGCAAAAGCGGAACTCATGTAAGCCTCTTCTGGGTAAAGGCGCACGTTGGTACGCCGAGGAACGAGAGGCCGGACACGTTAGCAAAAGAAGCGGTGGAAAAAACTAAGAACAAAACCTGAATACGCCGCATACCACATGTCATTAAACGCCAGATAAGGCAAGAGACGTTAGAAGTATAGAATGAGCGAATGAACTACCCTGGGGGGTAAAAACAGCTGGAACCACAATAATGTTCATTGGAGATGTAAGAGCTGTATATAAGTTAGTAAAAGAGGAGCGTTTCACACCACAAATGGCGCAAATTCTTACAGGGAGCCTTTGCACATTAGATGTATAGTTTTAAAATGAAGACCCACATACCTGCAATTATGGCGAACAAACCGTAGAACATATGCTTATACAATGCCCTATATTCCCATTCAGGCACGTCCTGGAGCAACAAACACAGATGACAGTAGACCGTAACGGTCTACAGGATATGTAAACAAAGTACCGACCTGGAACGGTTCAGCGACAACATTATTAAATATGTGAAGGAGCACAACAAAAATTAAAGAACGGGTCTTGCAAGCAATTGCGCCCCGGCTCGCCCATGAATATTGTAAATAACAATACCGATGTAGCAGAGCGTATCTCACGAAGTACGATTTTATTTTATTTATTTTGTAAGTAACAATATAAGAGATGGAAAAAAGTCCCCGGATACAATGGCAGGGCAGTGGAACGAAATAAAAGTCTCATAAGTAAACGAAGTCGTGGGAAATCATTAGTAATTAATAAACTAATAGCAAACAAAGTAATTTGATTTCTTTATAAAGATAGGTATTAATAAATGGAAATAAATGGAATTTATACTCGTGCATTAATAATAGCAATTAGGAATTAGTTAACGACGTAACTTATGAGTGTAATAGTTTAAAAAATATATTAAATTAGAAAAATAAACAATAAGTTTTCTTTAGACTATATAGAGCAATGGTCGTAGGAATTGTGAAAAACCCAATATATAAGAGTTAGCGTAAGTCTTAACTGAATTGCAAATTTAGAATTTGCTTTTCGAGGATTTTTTTCCCATTATTGTATTGTCCTATATGTCCAAGGTTAATGGCTATACAGGCTCTTTAGGCACAACCACGACGCATTTAATACTTTTTATGATTTGGCAGCAGATTAGGATTGCACAATAAGAATAAATCCGCGGTAACATTTTGTGACGCCATAGATCTACATCTATGGCGATACTCTATTGTGCAATAATACAAAGACTACAATAACCCCCTAAAAGGTTATGACAGATCTAATAATTCAATATTAAAATAAGATTCATTAAAAATAGTCCCTAAAGTAAAAGGAAATCTTCAAATTCTCTATGATATTATATTTTATTGAGTTTTATCCGCTGTCATATACAATTAGGTTATATTGAGATTGCAACGAGACTAATCAAAAAGGAATGCTTCTGTCTGCCCGGGCTTAGTCGAGTAAAGTACTTTAATTACGAGTTCTAGAACATTCCGGAGTAATCTTATTCTTATTGCGATCTCCGCCACTACAACCCAACAATCTTTACTAATCTTTTACAAAGTTTATCTTATTTGTTCTAAAATTGAGTTTATCTGCTACGATTTCACGCTTGGATAGATAGATTAGCTAAAGGACATAGACGAGATGTTAATTCAAGGAATGACCGATGGACACAAGAAAATACATTAAACGTATTCAAAGGCGGGCAACGTTCTTGTGAGCCTTCTGACGGTGTAGTCTATTACTCTAATTCGTATTAAAGTCACAATCTTGCTTTCAGCGCTGCCAAAAATGCCAAAAAAGCTAGATTTAAGTTTGATTACAATATGGACACGTAACTTCAAGTAAACCTTCTGCATACTCTCCGTTCTATAAAAATACTATTAATACTAGAATATACAATGAGTAAGACGGAATCGGTTATACCACGTAGGAAGTTTTGACGTAAATTTTTCTCTATTTTCGCATGTCAATGAATTCGCCTTAGAGACGGCAATTTAGCAGCAACATCACATCATATTAAAGTTTCTTTAATGTATCAATTATTAATGAAAAAAGAATTCAATAAGAATTTTTTTTAATACTTTATAGTTTATTTTTATTCAGTAAAATTGATGTTTTTTAAAAAGGTTAGATCACGCTCTAACCAGTTTATTTCTATAAGCGAAGTAATGCTTATATATTCGACCTATAAAAGAGATGCTATGAAATCCAACAAAATATGAATTGAATAAAAAGACTAGTACTTCGTACTTCATAGTTAATGATGTCGCTATTCGTTATTTGAATTGACGGCATTCGGTAGGGTTCTGCGCTAACTAAAAACTATAATAAAAAATAAATATTAACTGAGGCATGATGTAGTTAAAAAATAGTTAAATATCACGTGAAGACTACTATATAGACATACTATTTACACATAAACCATATTTTAAGTTCATGAAATGATGAATAAAACTATCCTATACTGCCTACTGGTGGACGGCTGGCATTTGTTTCCTTCAGCGCTTCAAGCTTAAAATTAAGCTTATCTTAGTTCTAAGATAAATTATTTAATTTATTTTTGTACTGCACTTTAAGTACAATTTATTTAAGCAGCAAGAGAGTTGATTATGTATAAATAACTTCCATACATTATTATAATTTTTATCTAAATATGCGACTATTCTAAACCAGACAGAAATATACTATACACTATATTAACATACGTTTACTTCAAATTTAAAGAAAAATCCAATTCATTGTTGTCGCCAGCTTTATTTTTTACTGAGAAATTATTACGACACGTGTCCATTACTTAATGGAGCAGGCCAAACCTAGAAAAACAAGGTTATATTCCTGAAAATAGTATAGTACGTAAGTTAACTATATATTTGTATGAAAATATCTCTAAAACAACAAAATGTTAGGTTGTACATTTTCCCGCGTCCTCTTAGTGGTTAAAATGTAAAACTCGGTCCTGGGTTCAATTCCCGTCATTATCATTTTTGATTCAATTTACCTAATAAGCCTGTGTATCAATGAAACAGACGCAGTACTGTGTATACAATAATTCAGTTGATAGCACACAAAAACTCGCGTCAACATAATTAATATTTAATAGTTTACAAAATTAAATGACGATTGAATAGTTTATTAATCAAAATGTTAATTGGTATATACGTAATCAATCATTTAGTGAACACGTGCGTATGAAATAATGTTCAAAATATGTAAAGTCCAGCTATTAAACATTTATTTAATACTAGCGTCTGTCCATCACATCATACGCATGGATATCATTATTAACAAAAGTACATAATTCTCCGTGGAGAAATACATACATAGACATAGGTCTAAGACTCTTAGATATGTCGTTTCAGCGTGAACTTATACATACAAACAAGTGTCATTCCCGCATATGAAAAAATTCCATACTTCGGATCACACTTTGGTTACCGCGTCAAACCTGATTCTAGAGAAACGAACTCTTACTCATTAGGATAATAATGCTTTCCTACTTTTTTATTCGCACTCATAAAATTTGAATACAGTTTTTATTTTTGTCAGTCGTATTATGTTTTATAAATGTTTGTAATGAAAACAGTCGAATTAAATAAGATAAATCGAATAATTAATATTTTTTATTATTAGATTTTAATACACTGTTTAATATCGCGCCATTAACGAATACTATCAAATTATATATAAAAATTACTTCGCGTGAATTCGATCTCCAACTACCCACTTTCGATCACATTTTTTAAGGACCAACATTTAAATCTACCTTATATTACCTTCAGAACATAGTAACCTAGACAAAATGCTATATAGCGTAGATTATAAATACTATATTTATATTTAGACCGCAAACTTCGTAGAAGCAAGTTCAAGTGATCATTACGCGGACCTTTTGAAATGTGGTATCAAGTCATGTATATTTTATCTATACTGATTATTTTCGATCGAGCCGAAACGCGAATTTATTAACTATTAATGATGAATTCATTATATATAATACTAATCCAGATATCAATAAAACCTATTTTATTAATATGTAAAACTCAATCAGAATAAGAACTAAAAAAAAATGTTTCAAAAGTAGTAACTATGTTAATCTTTAATAATACTTTTTACTATCACGAACTATGTAAATAATAACCTATTAGAATGTAAATTATATTATTAAATAATCTAGCAATGTAAATAAAACTAATACATATATATTTTATACATTTATATTACGTAGACATTGGACATACATATGTATCAGACGTTACGATCTTGAAACTTCGAACGGTGTAGCTTCAGTGTTGCTTGTATGTAAATTTAGGTTCGAATTATTAATCGTGATTAAAAATAAGTGATTAACTCACCACTCAGTGCCGTCGCATATTCCCTCCACTTGCGGCCGAAGACCATTGTTTGTATTCACACAATTTTTTGAAATAAACATTTATGGAAGTTCTACGCGGGCAATACAGTGCATGTGGGCGATCACTGCCTGCGTTTTGTTATATTTTGGAAACTGCTATCGTGTTAAAAATAGATCGCCACGTGCTATTCGCGTTTCGGCGTGATCGTGAATGGTAGCCAGGCGACCGTGGCTTGTGTTTATGCGGAATGAATTCACGATGTTGACAGTTTCAGCTGTCAATAATCGCTAGCAGACGGCCGCTGCGGGGCGCCGCCTCCGCGCTTGTGTCACCACAGATAAAAACACGCTCACCCTGCTTTGGCATCATTTGTGGCTGCCGGCACTGATAACGTCATACATCGATTTTTATATGAAATGTAGGTTTCGAAGTTGTTAACCTTTAATTTATGTCTGCAATGCTATTTATCTCGTTCAAGTACTAGGGCAATTATAATTGTATTATTAATATGTAGGTCTATGTCGGACCTTACTCTTTCCGCTGATATGAAACCTTTGAGGATAAAACTGTTCAGTAAACATTAACTTTAATTCAATAAATGCTATTGAATTGTGCTCAATAATATTGCATAATATATGACCTATTTAAGTGAAACATATTAATTTTGCGCGTATACTTTTTATATATTCATGGTCAATGATGTGTGGTATGTTTTAAATTATGATTATAACATAAAATAAATAACACACATGATATAAATCAATATATGCTTTTAAATTTTCCCCGTTTTGTTTGACTACATGTCGGTCGCGGTTGATTCGTCGGGCATGTTAAATCAATTTCAATTAAATTGATCACGGTACGTTATAAATAATTGATCTTTTAAGGAGATAAATATATACAGTGTTACTAGTAGTATACGTAGCAACATATACTTGGAATGATACTAGTAAGTTTATTAAAATAGTACAGACAATTTGCCAAGGACACACATTTGAATTGTTTATAATGTCATATAATTTGACTAATGACATACTTTGAAAATTACATATAAAATGCTTATTATTCAACAGATTTTTTTAAAATCAAATCTTAGCTCTCTAAAGCAGCTGGCTGATAGTTTATGATTTCAATGGCTAATTTGTTATACTATTAAGCTATATAATATGTTAAAATGTAAGATCAATAAAAATAGTAATTTCTTTTTTAATAGTTGAAGATAAGCTATCCGCTATCAACCGTTGGAGAAATAAGATGTATCACAATAATTAAAGTTCAATGAACCATTTAGTAAAATCACTTTGTAGAAATGGCCAAAAGATTTAATGATTTATTCACGCTTCCATGGCATATTTAAATTATTAATGGTTTGTTTGGTACGTAGAAATAACACAAGTACCGTTATAGTATTATTGATATATTCCTCGTTACTTAAAACACGATCATTATATATAAATTCATTGTTATAATTTGTAATACCTATTCTGATATGGGCCTGTCTTACTTTTTTTCAAGTCATCTTAACAAAACCTCCTCCTACAAGATGAAAGTAGGTAAACATTTAATTATATACTGACTCCAAAACTCAGGGTTAACACTCATTAAAAGAATTCTTGATAACCTTTATCCACTTGAAATACCTAATCTAAACAAATGAACTTGTTATTATAATGATTAATACATGACTATTTCAAATAAACAAAATACATGCAAAGTTGCAATTGGTACATTTTATAGTGATATATTTTTATCAGAAATTCTTCATTGACATAATACTTGAAAAAGTTATTATTTCACGTAACTTGTTATAGAGTTGTCGCAGCTAACTAGCTTAATTAGCCTTTCAATTAACAGCCTAACCTTTTAACGGCGCCGTTTAACTAACGGCCTGAAAGATGTTCAGCCAGTTGATCAAACGGCTAGGCAAATGACTGGGATCGATGACGTTTCATTACTTGCGTAGCCTGTTGACTGTTAATTTAAATTTTATTCCACTTTCTGCCAAACTCGAAACGAAACCCTTCAAACTGTCAATATGGCGTCGGCAAACAACGGATGGTTTTTTTCAAAGTTTCATGAAAAACAACAAGTACAAGGGAAGAGTGTAGTGACAATAATGTGAATTTGATTCAAGCAATTTAATTTAAAAAAAAAATTATGTCATATGTTTGATCTTTTTTATATCTGCCAAATAATGACTTTATCGTATGAATGGCCTAAGTATTAGCCAGCCAGTTTAATAAATGTTGTTACAAACGCTACGGCTGAATATCTTCAGGCCGGTAGTTTAACGGCGCCGTTTGGATAAAAGGCTGTTAATTGAACGGCTAATTAAGCTAGTTGGCTGCGACATAGTGATCTCAGTAGTGATCGCTGTTGTAATCTAGTGCATATTTTTCAGGATATGTATCGATACTAAACTTGTGCCGTAATAACTGATAGTTATGACATAACCAAGAGTGTTTTTATATGTATCAGTTTCCATAATTACAAATAAAAATAAACACTAATAAATATTGATACCAACCCAATTAAAAAACTATTGACGTGAATTTATAAATATTCCTTCTAATTAAGATGTAAAAACCACAATATGTCGTAGTCCAAAGACAATTACTTCAGGTGACCATTGCTAATATAATTAACTATAATTATGAGTTTAATAATGATTTCCACTAAATTGAGGGTTTGGCCTCAGATTACATCCCTTTCTTTAATATTTTTTTTCATAGAAGGTGATCAGCGTTCTGTGATAGATTTTTGATTTGATACATTTTCGTTTCCTCACGTTTTTTCCAGCGAGTTTTAGATGTGCGCATATACATAAAGTCCATTGTTGCACAGCCGGGATCGAACCTACGACCTCAGCGATGAGAGTCGGATACTAAAGCGACTGCTTACTATATTAAGGTAATTTTTTTTTTTTATATTCGTTTTATAATTTACCAAACAACTTTTTAGATATTATATTTATTAGAACAAAGAAAATTTATAAATTGTCGAGGTCTGAGTATCGGAAACATGTAGTTTATAATAGGAATATTAGGAAATATTTTTAAATCATAACAAAACACCGACATTTTATCTTCATCAATTGCACTATCATAGGTAATGATTTAATAATCGGATGCTCTTCATTATGGGTAATTTTGTTTAATGAATTGTAATTAAAATTGATAAGTATTCAACTGTATTTTTTCCTTGGTACACTACCTGACAGTTGAATGATATTAATTGACACTAATTACGTGAAATATTGAATTGGTCCTTTGAAATTTTAAAGAATGCTTTTCTTATTATTTATTACAGTATTTTAAAAACGTTTAAGTATCACATAATGGCTTACGGTAGCTGGTACGGAATATAATGTCAAAATCTCCCATAAGGTGGTGTTGGGAATGATAGAAGAATTTTCGAAGAAACGGGAGACAGCGATTGAGATCGATTGAGAGAGAGACTGAGAAGGGCGGGCGAATGACCTTATAGAAGTTATATTTTTAATTTTTATCATAATTTTTTTAATCATATTAAACTATCGACACTAATGACAATTAAATTCCTAACATATCTTCCTCCACTACAAATTATAAATTACAAATTTTACATAGAGGGAGGGAATCGGTATCGGATACAGTATCGGAAACCTAAAGTTTTAGATTGCTATAAATATGAACATGACTTAAAAATTAGTTTCCCAAAGAAGTTTCACTTCTGACATATGTACTTTGTACGCTTGCACTTTTTGTTCAGGATTCAAGCCAAATCTTGTCATTTTCTCGCCCTTTTCATTAGACATTTCCATAACATTTTTAAGAATATACTTTATACTTAATTAACAGTAGTCTTTTGGACTGAGAAGATTTCCAACAATTGCGTGAAAGACCTTGTAGCAAGAGGATATGCATAGGACACACTCTTCGAAGGCAACTAGCTCAACTACATTTCCAAATAGCAAGACTCGACTTCCCAAATAAAGAGAAAACCTTACCAATCCTGGCCACACTCAGTTGTAGCACGAGCTATTGGGTTGAATGGACGTAGACTGAGGTTAAGTGCATGTATAAACGGGATCGCAAAGCGCTGTGGAAAATTTCTGCTAAGAACTAGAAAATAAAATAACAAGTTTATATACGATATAGTTCTTCATATTTGATACTTAACAATTATCTTATCTATTGATAGTAAAAATCACGTTTGCAAGAAACTAACAAAATGTAGCGCAATATCGCGGAATAGAAATAAAAATTTATGATCAGTAATTATTTATTATAACGGTTTTGTTTTCTTCACCCTTTTCGGTGACAAGGAAAAGTTAATTTTCCTGTAAATTTCACTGTGTACGAATTATTGATACTTGATCGATTTTGGAAAATATTGACGTGTTGTTGTATTCGTTTGACTTCAATTTTTAGGTTTGTTATTAGTATATCTATTAGCACTTTATTCATATCTGCTTATCGCAAGTGTTATTTTGTCTATATTTTATTTTAAGTATTCAGCGTAAAGGCGTTACAATCCAGTCTTACAAAGTCCCTGAAGATTACGAATGCCAAGCAAAACTAGACGTAGTTAAACTAACCTTGCCACTACGATTATAATAATTCCGTAACTTAGAGTTAGATCTTTAACAAGGACCTCAGTCCAATAGTTTGTATTTGAAGTGTTCATATTTGAAACTTTGAATAGTCAAAGGATAGTTCCCAAGTTTGGCAATTTCACATAGTGGCGGGCAAGTGCATACGAACTTTGTCAATCTATGCGATTAGTGCATAATACTTGACGTGATATTTGGCTTTCAAATTTGGGAAGTCATCATATTTGGCTTCAGAGATAATCTAAAAGGGATAATCTTCAGACTGTTTACATATTTCTTTGTACTTACCTGGAAGTATACATTCCTATAAAGCCTCTTTTCCCTTTTTGCTTAATAGTTTTAATATAACCGTAGCAGAAATGTGTAAGCAAGATTAAGATCCGTATCAACTGACTTTTTATTCGTACCTATATATAATAACTTAATTAATTTGATAATTAGTCCTTACCGTT